GTTGAGCCAGTATAAATAAGCTTTGTGAAAATACAAATTGATAAGCTGCCTAGTACAGAACCAGTTTTTTTATGATATTTTGTCGTTAATTTCTACGGATGAATTGGTTGAGTAAAAGATTTAGAAAAAAGATCTTAAAAAATGCTTTTTAAGATTTTTTTTATAATATATATTTGTTTATTGATTAATTTTGTCAGTAAATAAATGAATGTGAAACTTGACAAAATGATAGTGATAATAAAGTGACAAAACAGTTGAACGTTCTCGAGAATGACGAGATGCGATGACAAAGATGATAATGATAAAGACGAGAAATTAATCTAATAATAATGAATGATAATTAGAGATGATGATTTGGTGATGACATGACAATATTGATTAATGATAATTATGATGGTGAAACTGATGACACTGACGATGATGATGGTGATAATCTGAATGACGTTGATGATGATTTGAATGACGACGATGACGATTGTGTGGTGATGCTGATGCCAAAACTGATAATGATGACGATGATGATGACGACGATGATGATGACGATGATGATGACGATGATGACTTAAATAAATTGTGCGTGTTAAATGAACAACCATTAAAGCCAAAGAAGTAATTAATTACTTATGACTGTTGTAACTAATTATACCAATTACTAACACAAAATTAAGTAACCGTTATGCGTTTCATATAGAAGTGCGTGCGGGCAAAAGATAGATCTACGTGATTATGCTATATACACATTATGTACGTGTTTTCATCTTATTAGTTAGGCATTTTGTAAGAGCTGGTTTTTAATTTTGAAGCTTTTATTTTTAAAATAACGTTTCTAAAAAAAATTCCACGAAGCAATAAAATGCTACTTTGGTGTTTCCGAACCCACATTTCCATCTAAATAAAAAACAAACGAATATATATTTTAGAACTGACAGAATCAAAGAGAATTAAATTAATCTAAGGCAAGACAAGTGTGAAAGCGAAAACATGAGAAGAAAAATATTAAAAAACAAATCATTGAAAGTACATTCAACAGGAAAGCATCACAATAATGGATATATATATATATATATATATATACATATATATATATACATATACATATATACATATATAAATGCAGTCACGAATGCAGTCACGATTAAAAGAAGATAATCTAATTTAAAACCGGCAAAGTGAAAGTATGAGAGCTGTTGGATTGTTAAGAAACATCATTTGAAGATCTCTCTTTCAAGAAAATATTCAACAACATTTCAAAAAAAACTTCATCAACAACAATTCAACAACAACAGCAATCCAACAACAACGACCCAATGAAATTTCTCGTAAACATATAATTTTATAAATTTTCTTCATTGACTCATCCTTGAGAAATCAGTTAGTATATTACATTTTAAGTGATTTCACCTTCACACATTAATACGCACACACAACGGAAAATAATCACGCACAGATGCATTTATGTGTGTGTGTATGTGTACGTGTGTGTGTGTGTGTTTGTCTGTGTGTTTGTTCTTCTGCACGTACAAACAGAACTACATACTTAGGCCAACAACATAAATATAAACACAACACAACTCAGCATACCTCTTTTATTGCCCTCGACTAATCACTGACGATTTGAAACTTTGTTACTTTCTTACAATCTCTAACCCATTTCCACTTCAAAAGATTCGATAAATTTCTGTTTTTATTGTTTGTATTTTTTTTTTTAGTTTTTTTTTGTTTTTCGTTTACTATGCCGATAAGTCGCTTAGAAATTTATGTAACCGTTCATTCAAACGCATTAAACACACAAAGTTACATTAAATAAAATTGTCAATACAGAAGTGCTGACTTACAAACATACAAATAAACACACAGACGCATAAACAGACAAACAAACGAACGAGATGTAGACATACAAGCAAACAAACAAGCAGACGTAAAAACAAACAGAAAAACATGCAAACCAACAGGCGTCACATTCCTTTCGTAGGAATTGGACCATTTGAAATAATTTTTATCCAAATCTGTTCTTAATTATGCGATTGAATAAAAAAAGTTTTAATTTCAATATTTTAAAATTATTTTTAGAAAATTTTGATGGGATGTACACATAAATAAACGAAAAAATGGACATTTACAAGTACAACTTATAATCATTCCTTCATTATTACTAACAATGTGCTACATATTTAAAAATATCACAGAATAAAATGATTAAAAAATGTTAATTTTATTTAAACCAATGAAAACGCTTTACATATAAAACAACTTCAAATGTAAGTTTACGTACGTAAATAAATACCTAAATTGTATAAATATAAAGAATCCTTGTGTATTAGTACGCCAAATGTAAGTATAATATGAACAGCATTTCAAACAATTTCAACTCACTTGCTTGCAACCTGATAGCATGCCACATATACATTGCCCGTGTCCGTCTGTTTTGTTCGTTCATTATTCATTCATTCGGTCATTCGTACCTTTGTTCATTTATTTATTCATTCATACGTTCACTCATTCATACGTTCGTTCATTCATTCATCTCTGCTTATTTAAACCTCAACAAATATATGTATGTATATGTGTAAATCGGTTGGTTACATATGTAAAATGTACATATTTCAATACTGTTCAACAGTGATGTTTGATTCAACCCTATAAGTTATTTGGCACATTTAAAATACATTTAAAATAAATATAATACAATTTCTATTAAGAAAATGTGCCTAGATCTATGCAATACATCCATTGGAGTGCATCCAGACATATTTGTGCATAACTAAACTTTGCTATCCACTACACACACAATCGTCTTGATTAGACAAACACACGAACGAACCAACATAAATATAAATGTAAGTATGCAAATGTAAATGTGAGTGTGTGTGGTTTCATTCATATACCCAACACACCGACATATCTACAGGCAGAGACGGACATAGAGAAAAAAACATGGTTTAGCAGGCACAACGTTTCAAACATTATCAAACGTGTAATGTTGCTATGTCGGTTTGCTATAAATTAATTCACTTTAAAACATTTTGTCGTTATCTTGGAAGTTTTTTGTAACGCTCAGTTCGTTCGTTACCAGCCTCTTAAGTTCGTTCGTTGTACGTTGAAGCGTTTACGCTGAGTTTTTGACAGCCATGTCTTATGAGATCCTTCTTATAAATAAGCGTACAACATTTAAATCTGTATAACTAAACAACATGCCAACATTTGAATGGATGCACTAGAATGTTCGACATACGATTGACTAGATACATTCCTTCAAACACACACCACACGCACGCACACACAATTGCACGTACATACCCACACACCAAGAATACCTTAAACATACCTCGTTCTAGGATTCCATGCCACCCAAACACAACACACGGGGATTTTTTCCAGTTAAATAAATCACCTAATAAAATATTCTAACAACATCGCTGATAATAGTCGCCCAGATGCACAAACATGCAAACTTACACACCAAACATTCAATCTAAACAATAAAAATACAAACAAGCACTGGCTAAATTGTAATATTAAATGAAATCAACTAAAATGTACATACATTAATTAGCTACCTGTAAACCAGGTGAGTAACCTAGGATGATCAGCATATGTCTGCTACATGCACTCCAATCACAACATACATCTGCATTAGAGACGCAGCGATTATTCGTCCTGGCCATTTTTGAAGGCCGAATATTGCATTTCCTATTATAGCTAACGATATCGAACAAATTTTAATGACTCACTTCTAAAAAACTAAATTTAGCCTAATGTTTTATTTGACATTCAACAGTCAAGAAATCCATAAACATAAAGAATATTTAACTACTAAGTTAATTATTTCTCAATATCATTTCCAAGATTGAATGAACATTGGAAAACATTTTTACTTATCAAAAAATTGCATCAATTTGAAAAACAGAAATCTGTGAATTACCTGTAAAAAACTTGCCTGGAGTTTCAATAACAACAATTGAACCTAACCAACCAAATAACCAACCAACTAATAAACTAACCAACAGTAAAATAACTCATATTTAAAAAAATACAGCACTTTGAACATTTAACAACAATTTGTCTAAAACAATCCTGACCTTAATTAATATGTCTCAAATAAACATTAACTGATTAACACTATCCGCCATTCAACAACATGTACAATTCCACATATACACATTATATATGTATAAGTGTTATTGTATTCAACATTATGTACAATTACGTACAACCTAAAATTTTTCAAGTAGCCAGAGTTTTGGTTGGGGGTTTTCGCTGGAGTCGGAATTTTTTGAGGAACTGGAGCTGAAGCTGGAGTCAGATATTTTTCTACATCCAGTTACCATGGAGTATGCACCGGTCAATCGTTGAATGTAATTATCAATAGTATACTTTAGCACGGTCACAAAGCCGATGAGGGTCTCAGTTTTTTAATATTTTATTTTTGATCGCTTGTCAGAATGCTTCAGTGGACATGTATCATCTTTCTAATCATAAAATTTTATCTATAATCAATATTTATAATATACAAGTAAAAAAGCTGACCTAGTGATTTGAAAACGAATATTTGCGTGTGGAATATATGGATGTAGTATAACAAATAGTACTAATCACAAGAAATAATATCCAAGACCCCAAACATATCAATCATAATATTTAAAAAAACATTATTAATCAAATCTGTCGACACATATGGTCGACCTACAACTCATTGAAATTAAACATAACATAAAAAAAGTAGAGAAGAAAAGCCAAAATGGTGATTCTCAGAGGGAACAAAGTTAGTTGCGTATAATAGGCCACAGGGCCCGTGGAAACCCTAGTTATTGGGTTAAAAAGCCGTCTACACGTGTGCATAATTCTTGCAATAACATTCGATTCATTTGATAATGTCGGAGGCTCAGTGGGCTGCTTGCGTCTCCAAACTGCCGTGTACATTTCGTTGGATATAACCGGAGTTTTATAATAACAATCGTCCGCGCCATACAACATGCTATCAATTAATTGGTTTTCAAAAACATTCAATCTTGTCAGAGTATGTTTAATAACTTCCAATTTCAACATTTTATAAGAACACGTTAACGAATTCAGTATCCCTGTGTTCAAAAGCTGCCTCTCCCAAGCTTTCATCAGCAAAGTAGTAACACGTCTGGTCTCTTCGTTATTTTTGAATACAAAAATAAACTCAAAACTCCTCAATGCGAAACGTATCAACAACTCATTTTTTGCAAAGTATGTCTCCAATACGCCACTCCTGCACTTACCATATTTCAACTTATAAACTCTTCGACAATATGGGCATTTAAGCGGCTTACCAAACGAGTAGAGTTGTTCCAAGCAGTGCAAGTGGAAATGGTGCTTGCATTTCCTCAAAAACACGACATCCGAAAAATTATTCAGTGAACAAAGACAGATGCTGCAATCTTCGTCATTGGCATAATCGTCTTCCAACTGTAAGATGTAATCCTGACGCAACAAGTTCTCATAACTTTCCGGATATCTAACTGGTATCACGATTCTTCTAGAGTAAGAACGATCTTTAATTACTGGATGAAACATTTTGGAGCCAAAGAAACCTATTCAAACTGCGCTGGAATACACGAAACTCCTCACCTTCAACTCTTTATATAGCCGACAGTGCAACAAAGAAGTCACAATAGAATGTTTGAAAGTAATTAACTCCTAACAACGTTTTAAATTAATCGTAAAAGCTGTTAAACCGATGAAGCGCTTGCAAAACCATAGATATCTCGACGAGGGTGGTAAATTGCGGAGTAGCGCTGCTACAGCAGTTGGGTTGAAAACTATCTCTATCTATTTATCGAACTGTCTATTTGTTGAGTAGTTGCTATATTGGTGGAGTCGGTACTTTTAAAGATAAAATAAAATCGCTACCTCTACTTTTGAGTCAAAAAATTTATCTCGTTAGATCGCGCATAATAATTAATAAATTTCCAGTTGAGGGAACCTAGATTATACGTGTTCATTGTTTTATTTTGGTTATTTTTTGTTACTTTAGAACTTGAATGGTTTGTTTTTTATTTTAATTAAATTTTGACAGATGTGAACAGGAATTAAACTTTGTTCTCAATTCCCTCCCAATTTTTTGTCATTCCTGATTTCCTCCCAAATTCCCATTTATGACAACGTTCCCTAAAATTTCCATTCCCGTTTTATACCATTTTTAAAATTTTAATTACGAAAATCAATTTTTTTTTCAAATTTGAAGTCGGTTTTAACATAAGAAATTGTAGTATTATTTCATCACATCATAGGAAAACAAAAAAAGCAATATTTACTGATTTATTTATTACTACCATAATGTTGAGACAAATTTTATTCATCAATAGATTAGAATATACATAAATTGCAACACTAACAACAATAATAATAACTGCGATTAATAAAATCCAAGATCCTATAAATTTGCATAATTTCCATACAAAACCAATCAAGTATAACAACATAACTTAACTATATTGTGTTAGGTTATTAAAGTAATGTATGTAATGACAATAACTCACCGTTACATTACATTACATTACAATAAAATTCATAGATGGATTACATTAATTTTGATTAAACACCAAATTTTAATGCAATTTCACGAATGGAATAATAAAAAATTAACGTCACGTGTTTCATTCAGTGATTCTCACTCTCTTCTGTATATATATATATATATATATATATATATATATATATATATATAAAGTTGTCTGTGATTTATGATGGCGCTTCTTATCAACCAAACTTAATTTTCAAAGTTAGCTAGAATTGAAAAGCCTCAAAAAATAATAAAATTATTGAAGGTAGAAAAAGGAATCACTCATGCAGACATCAGAGGTTAAACGTTTTCATCTACAATATTCGTACATTCACTGGAAAATATTCTATTAATAGACACAATAATTGAAATGAAGTGGTAGAAAACATTCCAGATAAACAGCAGATGCAGATTGGTTGAACGAAAGAATGGTCACCTCAGAATGTTCTCGTCTTATTAGGTTCTCGTCTCGTCTCTTCCGGGCTCACCCTTTTGTTCGGACCCAGGAAGTGTAAATTAAAAAGTAGACCCCTTCCAACTATGGGCCGAACTGCAAGCACTCTTAGAAGCAGACATCTACATGTTGGTGGTTTAGTCGCTCAGACGACGGAAAACTATTACAACGTTTCAAAATATTATTACAACACAATGTCAAACCAACTTTGCATATCGATGTAAGATAAAAAGCGATGCAATTTGTTCTTTGGATCAAACACATCATCATTCAACATCCGACAACAACTTCCGACAACAAGGAACAACATACCATTGAGACACCACAAAATTTCCTAACTTCGAATGATTTGTTGGCATTTTTTGTTGCGGACGTGTTCTATGCTGATGTCGAAAATTTAAAAAAAAAAGATCGACAGTACGCCGAGTTAATTAGTATAGTATCGTGTATCTCAAATGCATACATCTACGTATTATTCACCGTGACTTAAAGAATTTATTTAAGAAAAACAAAGTAATCACTATATTGATAATTATAATTAGTTAATTAATTATTTACCGCTAAATTTATTTCGACACCTCAATCTTTAGATAATCTTCTAATAATTATGCAAGACAAGAAATACATAAAATGCTTCTGAATGGAAATCTGTTGCATGTGGTTGATGATGATAGGTGATGCAGGCTAGATAAAATAATAAACTGATTTTTAATAACTAAACAAAATTAATTAGTCAACTAATTAATTAATTAATAGTAATTATTATCATAAACAAACACTTAAAAGGCTTGTTTAAAAGGGGAAAGATCGGCTGTGTGCATACAAAATTCGGACCAGTGTGTAAATCTTTGTTCAAAAAATATATTTACAAAAATAATTATCAGATGGTAAGATGGTGATGATGACGAAGACGATGATAAAAGTCTAGGAAATAATAACTAGAAAATATGTTAAAAACAAAACTTAAAACAATGATGATGACGACGATGATGATGGCACTGATGTCGTCGTCTTCCTCAGTGATAACGATGATGATGAAAAAAAGATGATGAAATGAAATCAATTGAGTGCAAATTTTAATTTCAAGACATTAAAATGATTGTGTGAAGTTATCGACAAAATGTTGATGAAACATATTTACACATTCGAATGACCAAATCGCTGAATATTTTAAGGTGGAATCTACCACCGTGCAGCTGACGATGAAGAAACCTATTTCAAATAATGAACAAACAATACAAAAATATGATGATCGTAAAGGTGACGTTGATGTTAACCGCCATTCAATTAGGAATTAAAATAAAAATATTAATAAGGTTCTGTAGTAACAATTGAATTATTGAAGTAATAATATTTCAAATAAAATGTATCAGGACTGTCGACACTTGAACCTGGAACTTCGAGTTCTTGATTTCTTATGATGATGTTGTTGGTGTTGTTGTTGCTGTTGTTGCGGTTGCGTTGTTGAAGTTGTGGCTGTTGTAGTTAACGATGATGAAGTTGGTTTGGACTTGTGTGATGTTGATTTCTTGGTGGCTGCCTTTCCTTCAGATGAACTTGTGGCCCGCCCGCCATTGGTTGGAGAGCAACTCATTTCATTTACATTCCCTGCAATAGTTTCATTGGTGGCCAGTGTTTCAATAAAGTAACAAGTTAGCCCATTCATATTCCCATTTTTCAACATGAATATTTATCAAGATTTGAAATGTTACAAGACAACACTGCCAAACTTGAACTACAGAATCCTATAAGCAGATAAAACTGCTCAACAAACATTTCAAAGCAAAAGAAAAAATTAAACTATGAGAAAGATTCCAAATATCAACAGCAATAATGTACACAACGGAATAAAATTATTAATAGAAACAAGCGACAGCAAATAAACCAACCAAGAGATAACCCGGATGTGTCTTTGACTCCATTCCCTCCGTCCAACCTGCGATCACCCGCCCCCTCAATGTGCACCCCCATAATAGCACCTCCATCCTGCCTCCCCCTCATCATCATCTCCTCCTCTTCCTCCTCTAACAACGACCTCTCCTGGATGCTTGGAAAGTTGTTGAAGTCTTCGTTGGGATCCTCGGCCAGGTCGAAGAGGTCGCAGAGGCTGTTGACAACGGTCATACCTCTGTGGGGGTCGGATGAGTCAGGCTTCGGTGGAATCTTCACTTCCTCGTAGAGAATGCGCGAGTGTTTCTTGCGCATCCACCTGGTTCCACATTTTGGAATGTATACGACGTAAATAAATTAGGAATGATTGCATGGTTCGGAGTAAAAATTTGCTTTCTGCTACAAATTGTAAATTAATAATTTTTATTTCTTTCCAAACACAAATCCAGCAGCAAAAAATGCGAATACTTAACAACGTACGCATGCGCTTTAATTTCCTGCAGTGAAAATCTTCTCTTTGGATCGAATGCCAACAAACCTGTGATACGGCAAAATAAAAATTTCACAATTTAAAATGAATAACCAATCAAACAGTGAATCCACCATAACTATATTACATGCCGTGTTGTAAAATTAAGGACGTTGAAAATAAAGTGGAAGTTGGAAGGGGCTAAAGAGCAATTAGTAACATATTAAAAAGTGCCTCATCTTAGAATCTCAATCAACATGTATCCATCATAAAATGAAATGGCAACAGTGATAATAACGAGTGTGTGCGAGTGTAATGATGACATCTGCCATATAATATTAAAGACAACATCAATAATAATAATAATAATAATACTAATAATAATAATAATAATATCATCAACAATAATAATAAATATGAAGTCCACGACCTTTAAGGAGATCTTGAAGGAGATCATCGACTCCCGTTGGAATGGTGTAGACTCCCTTGCCAATGTTCTCATACAGCTTGTAAATGTTCTCACCCTCAAATGGGTACTTGCCAGTGGTCAGATTGTACCTGTCAATCAAATATATATATATATATACATATATATATATATATATATATGTGTGTGTGTGTGTATTAATATGCATGTATATATAATAATATGCATGTATACATATTAATATGCATGGTGTATGTATGTGCATGCGTGTGTGCGTGCAGATTGCAACACCATAGCACAAATTACAACACCAGTTTTAGTTGAAAGTGTGATCAATTTATTTTATGTTTACTTACATGCAATTAAGATTATGTGTAATGATGATCATATTTATGTGTTACAGATGATGCATTTATATAGCTAACAATTAACAAGCTACTGGAGTATAGGAATAATTAACTTGGCAGTAAATTGAACAACCAACTAATAATATAGCAATCAAATAACACATTACCATCTTCACAAACAACCTTTAGCTAACAGATAAAACAGAACATACAACAAGCAAACAAAATAAACAGCAACAGAACAACATGTATAACAACAAATCACTATGATAAACCCCTTACAGAGTAACACCAGACGACCAAATATCAACTTTGTATCCGGAAAACTTATCTTCCCCATTAGCAATCTCAGGCGGTTGAAACGCTGGTGAGCCCTGGCTCAAGGTGCACGTGTCATCGGGGGCAAAGGAATCAAGGGCCTTGTGTTTGTGTTAATATTTGTTAACCCCTCATAACAATGCAGATTATCAACTTTTCTGTTTCTACAATTAATAGAAAAAAGTTGATTTAAATAAAAGGGTGTCTAAAAACTGACTTCAGCGACACCTAAATCAGTAATTTTAAGTGTCCCATTGTTTGTGAGTAGAAGGTTGCCCGGCTTGATGTCGTTGTGTATAATGCCCTTTCCATGCAGATAGCTCAGTCCTTCTATCAACTGGCAGAAGTAACTATGGTGGATGAACAAACAAGTGGAAACATTTATTATAATACTATTAGACATAACGGAAAATGTCATACTTTTGAGTGTTGAAGTAAACAATTAAAAGTAATACAATAGAAAAAATCAGAAAGTAAATCATTCTGTGAGTTACTTGTGGGCTTGATAAATAGGAAATTTTTTGGCTGAAGTGCTTTCCAACAATTCCTGTAGTCCAATGACACAATAATCCATGACCATGTAGAGTTTTTGTTTTTCATCATTTCTGAGTACGTCGTATATTTCGATGATGTTTGGATGGTGCAGTCGTTTCAATAGTCGTAGTTCTCTAAGTGGAATATGGAAATTTTATGATAATAAATAAATTTCAATCATTCAAATTAGGATGTGTAGAAATAACAATGCACATTCCCTACACGACAACCATTTTGCTAAATTGAAAAAAATACTACATATCAAAAAATTATTATTTTTACTAATAATATATAAAAGATATTTAAACTTTATACCAAACTTTTTAAAAAATTACAAATATAAGTTTGGAAAAGAAAAATATGTGGTAGCTGAGAATTCTTCAAACTAAAAGAGAACTATGCTAAACTTTGTTTATATATCAAGGGCAAATAAACTGATTCAAGACTATTATACTGTGCTGAAATTTAAATTAAAACCAATCAGCTATTATTATTGCTAGGTGTAGAATGCCCAAAAATAAAAACCAGCAAGATTACAAATTGTTTTCATATATGTTTGCTAAGAAGTGTGAGTGTATAATGCAAAATTTTGAATATGGCAAATGCAATAAATTATTATTATTAATTAATAATAGAAGGCTACAACAAGAACAAATAAAGGCAAAACTAGTACTAGATCAACATAATTTTAAATATTTATTTAAAAAATTTATAGGAAATCCTTGACCTTTTAACATTAGCTTCACCATTTGGAATTTTTTTCAACTTTTTTTTATTAAAGATTTTAATGGCCCGCCTTGCTAGGGTCTCAGAATCCAAACATTCTTTGACCTTACCATAAGAACCTTCACCTAATATATCACCCAGCAAATATTTGCCGATGAGTTTTGGTTGTTTGAAATGGCTGTTGTATACAATTTGATCGGAGTCAACGTGATTGAAGACTAAACTTGAATGATCCCCAGTCAGAAAACCGAAAGGAACTGAAGATGAGATTTTTGTATCTATTTCAATTCTTGTCGTTTCATCGTCACCCAATCCAAAAATAACTCCGCCCTTATCGCCCATCAGCTAAATGAGAAGGTCCGAAAAAATTCATTTAGAGATTTTGAGAAAATGAGGATGACGATAGGATAGAATGAAGAAGCAAGAAGCGGCGTAGTCAGGCAGGAGACACCAAAAATATGCGCGATGATGTTTACAACGCACCTTCGCAGTTACATTAGCTCAATGTTCGACGTTTGTATCAGCACGCGATTACTTTAAAGAATTAATGAGGTCCATTCTCTCTTACGCTCCTCATACGTCCAGAGGAATCGACAACACAGAATAATCGTATATAAATAAACGCCATACGAAGCATGTGATAGGCGGAGACCTTTTTGTCAAATTCGAATCTGGTCAACGCACGCACTTCTAAGAATCACCTGGCGATCTTAAAAACTAAGCCACAAGGGCCTCCATTTATTTATTCTTATATGCTGCGAAACTGCGAAATAATTAAATTGTGTAATATGCGGTGGTACTCCCTATCAACGACTTAGAAAATGTTTTCAGGAGCATAGCCTTCACAAATGACTGGCATTTTCTTTGTTCAATCCTATAACGTTTCCTCAGATACCTCTGCTCTGTTTCCGGAATGAACAAACGAATGAATGTTGTGACGTTTCATATACTTATACAGCTACCCGTTAGATGCCGTAAATTCATTGTGCCAAAGAACCACAGCTTCAATGGGCCTTCTCTTGGATCATGCGACCACTGATATGCAAATTTCGACGTCAACTATCGCAAAACCACATCAAAAAAATGGTAAATTTTACGTTTTAATGATAATTGTTTTGTGTTTTTTATGGCCGTTGGTCGGGTTTTGGAGGGAGTCGTAGATCGGGAGTGACGCTTAAATGTGAAAACAATCCGTCAGAAATTAAACGGTCAGGAACGAGAGAGTCGTAAATGGGGAGGTCGTTGGGGAGGGGTATTACTGTATAATGATTTGGTTCAACTTTTTAAATAATGAATGCTGTTGTCAAGTACAAATGTATCTTTTTATATTAAATAAAAGCAGGAACACAATTTGATTTGACACCATTCATTAGAATTCTAATATATATATATATATATATATATATATATATATATATATATATATATATATATATATATACACACACACAAAAGAGAGAGAGAATCACTGAATGAAACACGTGACATTAATATTAATTATTATGTCATATTGACTAACGCTTTTAAACGAATTTTGAAAAACCAACTCGGATCGGATCGATTAAAAACATCATTTAATCGAGAAACAATTTTACAATATAATGTAATGCTCATTTGTTTTTTGTCAACATAAATTTAAGTTGTTATAAAAACATTCACAATTTTAAATTACTGAGAAATTTATCTCTGTGAAGAAAACAATGGACTTGAATTCTCGGTGGTACATAGGCCTTCCTCCCATGCAGCAATCTCCAGTTATCCACTATAATCAGCTCACCTTCTTTCAACTTTAATATCAATTCATTTTCTTCTTTCTCTGTCAATTTAGAAAATTCTGACAACGCTTCGTAAAACCTCGCTTCTTCTGTATCGTCGAAATTGTCCTGGCCAGGAACATGCTTTCCGTTGATGACGTTGGTCGCCACTGCGGGATCTTCAGTTGAATTAGTGATAAATATTTTTTGTGGTCCTCTGTCCAGGTGGTTATATCTGACGCATTGGAACTCTTTTGAAACTGGATCAACCGCAATGGTTGGAGCTTTTGCAATGTATGTACGTTGGTCGTCAATATAGCTTTGAATTGACAACATTCAACGTCAGTAAATAATAAAAATATATTACAACGTTCATTCATGTTAAACATTCATTTTCTATCGATTCTATCAAAACTTTGTAAAAATTTGAAATTGAAGGTTGTGAGTAAACCGACAAGTTTGGGGAGTTAATCTAGTCGGCAGAAGGGCTCGTGTCCCGCATTGACCTGGTTCGAATACTGTCTGCACGAAACTCAAAACTATCGTATGCCACGCATGATTCGTGAACGACGCGGTGCGTGCGTGTGCATTCACATTGTGCATGTAGGTACGTCGGATGCTGTAGTTAGTACAGCCTTTGTCATACTAAAAGTTGAACTATAAGAGAGCGATGTAAATTTGTGCCCGTCAGAGCTTCACAAACTAAAAAACAAAACAAAAACATTTTGAAGTTATTTTTTCCATATAATCTATCGCACAAACTTGAACGTAACAATGTCGTTGGCAAGAGAATGAAAGAGTTTTGGTGATGACGTTTTGAGTTGGCTGGCCACGTGGAAGCTATCGACAAGAACTGCTTCCCCACCAACCTTCGCTGCCTTCAAGCAGAATAATACCTGAAAAATTTAAATACGGGCCTAAACATAATATCTTAATTAAACTTATTTTTATTTTTAGAAGTGTATTATTAAGAAAATATTTTGATTTAAAAATAATCGTCACTGATGGAACAATCAAATTTTCAACGAACAACGAAAGCAGGAGTTTCAGTGAAGTAAGTGCCATCCACATGAACTTGCAGATCATCGTCATCGTAAGCAGTGTCTTTCAGGGCCCCATTTAGGGGATACCCGCTGAGGAGTTCGTCGTCGGGATCGATCCCTATCAAGGTACTCTTCCCATAAATCGTTGGGCGGATTTCAGAAATCTTTTCCACCGTTTCCTCCATGTGTTTCTGAGTTGTTGGAACGTTCTTGATAACAACGAAACCGTACTTGTGCAGATTTTCGCAAACTTTCTTTATAACGCTCATGTTCTTATCCGAATGCACTTGCTCGTATGTTACTGCTTCTTCTGCCAAGTAACCTTGTATCTGGCACAAAATAACTTTTTAATTATGTTATTAAAGTTTTTATTTAAATAAGCATTTCCATTTTATTAAAGTTTCTTGCCTTTTAACTACTAGCAAAAATCTTTAAAATAAGTTTTCCTTAGAACAACTTTCAATATTGTCTTCAATTTTAAATGAAATAAAAGTAACATAATTTTCTAAACATTCACGTTTTTCTCAGTCTATGTAGTAATATTTTTTTATTTCTCGCTTGAAATAACTTGATTAAATATCTAACAAACGCTTCTTGGTCAGTGTTTGTGTGGATAAATGTTTAGCAAATAAAAGCTCAAAATTTGTCACCTACCTTTTCAGCGTTCCATAAAATTTTTGGTGTAGTAAAGTTCGACTTTTGATTTCTTTGAAGTTGCATCCAATCAGCATCAAAGTGAGATTGGTGTCCATCAGACCACGTGATGTTGATCTGCTTCCTTGAATTTGCATCTAAAGTTTCACTGACTTCTTTTATCGTGAGAGAATCATCATTTAACCTTCGTTTAAAACGATTTGAAATTTTAAAATAAGATTAAATACACAAACATATAAAATTATGATGAATATTTTAAAAGTATCTTAAACTTTGAAAAATTAATAAAAATTTAAATTAACTGAAGTAAGTAATTTTGAAAACCTTAATGATGTTTTGTAGTATATTAACACTGAAACATTAAAAATTAATTTTTTTTCAAACCTATAGAACGAAACTCTCCTCTGCGACCTTACAGCGTCGAAACATTCCCCGCACGCACAGTTCTCTCTTAACCAAGTCCTCTCAGCGATGCTGCTACAACTCATCATCATTAATGCATAAATTATATGAAATGTCCTGCTGGATATCAAGTCTGTAACGTGTCGTTGCGAAAAAGCGAGCTTGTTTGGGCCTTATATATATATATATATATATATATATATATATGTGTGTGTGTGTGTGTGTGTGTGTGTGTGTGTGTGTGTGTGTGTGCGCGCGTTTAAAAATATATTTGATAGACATGACGGGGACCACCACCAACAAAATTGCGCCGCAACGTCTTGCTTGTGTACACGCAAAAACAAACACATTATGTTAAAATATTTATTCAAAATGAAATAACAATAAAGCATGCCTTCAGGATTTTAAAAGGAAAATAGTTATGTATAATGAATGAGTTTGCTTCTTTTTATTTATCATTTTTTCTAAGCGTGGTTGAGATGAAGAGGTTAACTAACTTTTATCATAAATAATTTATACTAATTCCAATGAATTTCCAAATAATTTATTTTGTTCAAACTATGACAATTCTATTTTAACAAGTAACGCAAATTTTTATTGGCGCGCCATACTAATGACACCAAGATCACTGAATCTGACTGGTTGTATAGGTCATGCTTTCTCTTGCAAGCCAGTAATATTTGATGAATTTTTTATTGCCTTGCTGGTCAAGTCCGAGTTTGGATTTTCTTGAATAAATTTCAACAGTTTCGGCAGCTCGCTGCTTACAGGCAGCTGTCCTCTGCAGACCTAAGCTACGAACACACATTACACAACTCTGTGATGTATTTTTTGTTTTGTTTAATGTGAATTACACATCACATATATATCTTAATATACATCATTTCCCAAATAATAACTCTTGAACTCATTCATCACCCAGTCTAATCAGATGACATTTAATAAGAAGCATGCGTTCTACTATTTAATTAGATGCCAGATTTTGCTATATGATTGTCATTCGCTGTGCTACAGAAATTGAGACAAGACACTCTCTGAAATTAGGATACTAACAGAAAAATATTTTTGAATTCAATATAGCTTGCTTGCAATTTACATGACTGCGTGGATGAATGGATATTGATATCGGCAAACAAAAAAGTGCAAAAACTTGAAAAGATATTTTTCGAGTTGTTCAAGTTAAAATTACACGCATCTTTCATAAACTTTGGACGATATTTTTGAATACTTGAAAACAAAATGTACAGTAAATATTTGTGAGTAAATACATTTATTATCTTAGTTAAACTTTGACCTCATAACCAGTTTTAATCGTCAACATCAAGCGACATTGGGACATGGATATATGCACTAGGACGCTAACATTCACTTTGCGATTCTCTTTAAATTATAATTTGTTAAAAATTGGAACTTAAGAAATAGTCGAAAAAACTTTGGACTGCGGAACTAGTTAATTTACCAACACGAATGCGATTTTGTTTTCGTAAACAATTTCCACGTTATTAATTGATAACCACTCATTTTAACTGGAAGTTTTTTCATTGCAGCTCTCTTAAAAGCAGGGAAAACTGCTTACATGATATTCAACACTTTAAAACTGAACTTCCAGGCTGCAAACAAGGTCCGTAGTATCTATACCACACGTCGCACATACATATCATATATACACCGCATCATACACATATGATGGTCTTTGAGTTTCAGCATTAGCATATTATTTTGAATGTGGCAGTGGTATGGTGAATTATTCTGGTAGTTTTTTTTTATTACATTCATGTAGTACTCAATCTTCTGAAAATAAAAATGTACACTTTGATAATGGAAATCCCAACGTTTTGGATATATAGTATTTTGAATCTACCGAATAGTTATCATTATGTGCTAGGCACAATAGTTCGATTTTTATAAATGTGGCGCTGGTACAGTGAATTAAGCTGGTAGTTTTTTAACATTCATGTAGTTATCAAATGTATTCTTTGTCAATGAAAATCTCGCGCTTTTGTTATATTGTATTTTGAATCGACCAAATAGTTAATATCATATACCTAAATAGAATATAGATTCTATTTATATGGTTATTATCATCATTATAATGTATTAGTACTGAACACACACTACTATAGCTCGATATTTTTTTGGAATGCGGCGCACATATAGTAAATCAAGCTGGTAGTTTTATTTTTTTTTACTAAATTTGCAGTTTTAAATCTATAATTTAATAATGGAACTCCAGACGTTTTTGATATATAGTAACCGGAAACGACAGATAGCATCACATAACTTGCCTAATTTGTAATAGATAATGTTTGATGTTTATTAAGAATGGCAAGGAGGGAATGTTTTTCGGGAAAGGGATGGAGATGGGAATGGAAGATATTTGGAATGAATTCGCTATGTCAAGTTATGCGATATTTTGTCAACCAAATAAAAAACAATTGAACAGCTGTGTGACTTTTAATAAGCAGTAATTTCTGTCCAAATAATACAAATTTCAACATTAATAAATAAAAAAATGTAATTGTGAAAAAATTTAAAAAAAAATATAGCAGGACTTTCACGACAGTACAAATAATAAATAATTTAGTAGAAAATGAATTATTGAGGTTAGGAGGTGAAATTGAGTTTTTCATGTTGCTAGCAGGTTTGTCCAAAGTTCAACATTCTTCATCAGAGAGTTGCCTCTCAAACACATCTAGCAGTCGCTTTATTTCTTTGCTAGATTATATTAAAAATGAATTGTAGCTAGATTAATGTAAAATACGTTAAAAAATTTTCAATTAAATAAGTAATATTATTATATTTTTATTTGCTAACAGATGATATTTTGCAAATCTTTTAAATTATGATTTCATAAAAATTCAAAATGTAATTATTCCTGACTCACATTTGGCTTTGAATTTTGTATATCGGCTGTACAGTGTTTCCAAGTTCTTCACATTTGGCAATCAATGCATACATAGACTTGAATGTGTAGGCAAAATTTTAAAAAAATATCATCACTGAACCATCATATGGAAGAGGAAATGAAATAGACCAGTTACCTTGATGCTGGCATCCACTGAATCACAAGTCAGGTCAACAGATTCCTTATAGACAGACACACATTGGAATGAACTGTTGGATATCTGGAGTAGAAATAAGTAGAAATAGCATCATAGATATTATTATTAACACCTTCCTCAACACTATGAAAAAAACGTCAATGATGACTGATTTCATACTAATAAATTCTATTTTTTATTAAAATAATGAATTAAAATGATGTAAACGAATTAGTGATTTAAAAAAAACTCATGAAGTACTTTATGCATTTGTTTTTGAAAGTTTTTCATCACATCATTAAGGTTGGTGGCAACAAGTTTTGTATGTTGTTCCATTTCATTCAAAATGTTTGGGTTGATTGCAGGTATTTCTTCCGGGCTCATCAAATATCTTTAAAAATTATTTTTTGACCCATTTTTTTATTCATTGAAAAATTTATGAAAAAAATACAATTTTAAAAGCATATATAATTATAAAAAAACACATTCCCCTTTAATGATTAATGACCAGGTTCCATCATGACTGCTTGGAATGGAATGACTACTTGATAAAGTAACCCAAACAAAGATCCTAAATTGTTAAATCTTCATTTCAACCATAACTTAGCCATGTAAAAATTGTTCCCGTGTGCATCAATTACACAAACATCACAAATTTCTGACAAAGATCACTTGAATGGATTTAGAAATGATGGAACCTGGTCGACTTGCACTCCCCAGTCACCGGCATGCTGGACCAGCCCGAATTGGAACTTGAGAGGCTACTGGAACTCTGAGATCGGGAATAAACATCTAGAGGGGGCCAACTTGATGCAGAGGAGTCTTCAATAATAACAATGTAAAATATTGATTGCGTTTTGTGGAAGCAATTATTAATCATTTATCATTCACAGTTCACTATTTTAATAAAAGTTAATACAAAATTGCTAAAATGAAATCAAGATTCTGAGCAGTTGTTAAGGAATTTATAATTCATATTACTAAATTTTTAAATATTGCATTAAATTAAATCATATTTAAAAAAAACTTTAATAAATTAAAAAAATTTAGAGTATAATAAAAATGCTATAAAATAGATAGATTGATTAATATATGTTCATGTTTGAGTTTTGATGCAAGTAACTTTATTTATAATATTTTTATAATCATATGATAATGAATAAATATAAAAGATATATAGATATAATTTTATAATATAACAATAACAATAAAGAATAAATACTACCCAAGTCTTTTTTCAACAATTCATTAAGATTGTGAGCTACGAATGAAATCATGTTTCCTTCCACGGATATGATACCTTGTGCATGGGCATCTAATGGAGATCCAAGGACATTTTCGATCGTTTGGTTGAGAAGATGTGGATCTGAGTCTGATTGACTAGGAGCAATATGACGAGAAAATGACGTTGTATGATCATGATGATGAGTAGATGATGATGACATCTCTTTTTTATTATGAATATTTACATCTTGTGATAACAGCAGATTAAGTGGTTTATGCGGACAATGGTTGTCATCATTGTCATCCCTGTTTTTTATTTTATTGTCAGAAATTTCCCTTTCACTGCCGTCACTTGACTTTTCATCCGTCAGTACAATTGTTGGCCGATCACAAGATTCGTTATTTTTCTCATCATTTTCACTCCCAACAAACCCATCTTGTCTATTTTCGCTCATTTAATTTAAATAACTTTTAAAAATGGTAATTAGCAAGGAACAACGTCAAAAAAACCTGCCGACATTTATTAAAAACCTTTGCAAATAATAACGCGAACGAGGGTCAAATTAGAGAAAATAACCGGCGCTGCCATTTACAAAAATTGAAATAAAGTCATAGAAATTATTCTGATTCTATGTGGATCCGGTAGTACAAATTATTGTAAGTAAATGGTTATTTATAAAAAATATAATAAAATTATTAAATATAAAAATCACACATGCCTACAATTAAAATATACCAAATTAAATGTGTTCTAAAATTTTGTTTCTTTTTAATCAATTTATTAGTATTAGCTTCCTGTAGACTTTATTTCTTTTGTCTTAGTGTTTGTCTCGTGCATTTCAGAAAAATTGTTTTTTAAAAGTTAATCTAACAAATGTTGATTTTTACGTTCAAAGTTGAATTTTTTTTTGTTTCTGCTTTCTAATTTGTAATTATTGCAATTTAATTCGAAAGTAAATATCAACAGAAAAGGAAGATGGATCAGTTAGTTGATTTTCTTCGTGGTGTGAAAGATTCACTTTCTGGTATCTTAGCTATCATAGAAATAGACAAAGAAGAAGAAAAAGCTTTATCAGCAGCAGGAGAGAGGGTGGCCCAGAAGCCCCAGCGACCCCCAAGTGTCCAGGCTATGAAGAGGGCTGCCAATCGAAACAAGCCATCGTTTGACAGCAAGAATTCTGTTGACCTAAAAGAAAGGTAATCATTTTTTTGTTGGTTTTCACTTTTCAATTAGTTTTTTTTTGTTTCTGTGCTTTTAGTAAGTAAAAATATAAAAGGTGGTGCAGGTGACCCTTCTTAGATCTTCATTATATTTCTTTATTAATTCAACTCATTAAGTCAATATTCAAGTTTGAGGGAGTTAGGTGTAACAACATAAAAGCACTCCACAGTTTATTAGATTAGAATCTAATGTCTAATCTAATCATTAGATTCAGATACAAACAAAGAATTCATTATTTATCATCATTAATATCCATTAGCTGCCTGATGATATATAAATTTTCTCAATGAATAGTTCTTAATATTAATTTTGTTTATTAATTATGTATTAATTTAACATTAACCTTCCCTAAACAAGACAAAAAGAAAGTTTCATTTTTTTTTAATCAATCAATGAACAATGATCCACTTCTAAATATTTTAAGAAATTGTTGGGCCAATCACATCTACCTTTATTCTTTCCTATTTGTTTCCATAATCATAATCTTTTTTTAATCTTGACATTTTCTTTTTCATTTTGTGACTGATCTTCAGACATTAATTTTTTTCTCAGTTAATTAATAAAGTGTTACTTTTGGTTAAAGACTTAAATTATTGCTTTTATTGGTCACTCATTTATTTAGCAGTAAAAGAAGTTCTATTGAAAATAAACAAAAAACACTGAGAGGTCTAGAACATTCTTATCAGTTGTAACCTTAAATATAACTTGTTAAATTGTAACCTTTGATGTTCTGTGATTTTAATTTTCATTGTGTAAATGAAAAATAATTTTAAATTGTTTTTAAAAGACTGCTATAACCCTTTATACATACTCTCAGTTTTCCAATTAAATTGAATTAAAGTGAACTTTTAATGGAAAATTATTTGAAATGGTTAATTTTAATTAAATTAGAAATTTATATTCAATTATTCATCATTGAAAAATTTGACTTTAAAATTAATAGAGAGACAGTCTTCCAGCGATTGAGGAAATGCTGCCTGTACAACCTCATCTTTGCTCTTGTGAGTACTAGCAATTTTTTTATTAGGTGTTTGAATTTTTTTATAATCACAAATTTAAGAAACTTTTACACATAATATTTATGTGACTTTTGCATAGAATGTTGTTTAATAAAGTTAAATGAACAAGCCAGAATAATTTCTATTGTTTATTGCAAAATAAAATTTCCAACATCTTCACCAACAATAGAGAAACTTATTTATTATCATCTCAAAAATGTAACGTCTAGCTAGATAGAGATATGTCATTAATAAAGTTGGGATTAATATTTACTTGAAATAAGAGAATTTCCTGAATATTTTTCTATAATTTAATTTATATTTTGACATGAATAATATTTTTCCCATTCTTTTAAATGTCATTCACTCATTTATCAGAATCAATTTTTCATACCAATAGTTAATATTGAAATCTTTAGCAGATGTTGAAAACAAATGAAATTTCAATGACCAGTTGCAAACTAAAACAATCACATCTGCATTTTGAGTCATTTTAATTAATATGAATTCAATTGTATCATGCAGCAAAAATATTAAATAAATTTAATTTGAAAATTTTGCAGTCAGTTGCTCTGTTGACTGACTATGTCCTCTCTTCCTGCTCTGAACTCCTTCCTTCCTTCTCACGTGAGTATTTACTAAAAATAATTTCACTTGTTTCAATCACTTTTCTTTGTAGGAGATGAAATTTTTTCCGAGAGGAAAAATATATTTGTAAAGAGATGAAGGAAAAATTTAGTGCTGTTGAAAATTTGTAAAAAAATTTGAGATTTTTGATCATTTCAATTTTCTAGCTGAAAAGCTGTTTGGTTTCAACATGAGATGGAATGCGTTTTTTGTGAGAAATTTTGTAAAAATATAAAAAGTTTGTCTCTGGATTTAAAATCTTGTGATAATAAAATAAGAGGAATCTCCTAACAAAATGTGATTAATGCCCTTAAGACATTGTTTTATAATCCTAAAAAAAAACTTAGAAAATTTTTATACAATTTTTCATTGATCTATTAAAAAATGATCTTGTGTTTCAGCATGTTCTTTTGATTTCAATCATATTTTAAGTATTATTCTACTTCTAGCAGCACACTTATGATGATATTTAATTAAAAAATTAAAAATATTCTAAATTGTTAGAGGAGTATACAAATAAGTGAAAAATATTCACATTGAAAGAAGCAATCATTCAAATAGTATTTTAGTTTCTCTTAATTTTCCTATGAGTTAAATCTAATAATAATTTATCTGATGAACTTTTATGATAAAGTTCCAGAACCCGTGTACTCCATTGGCAGCATAATTTGGTGGATATCCAAGTCCCTGTATTTTGCTGTTGGCCTTTTCCTCTTGAAAGTTTTCAATTTCTTCTGGTGTCAGGTGAGTGTCATTATCATCATCATTCATATTTCCATAAAATTGAATTTTGCTATATTTCTCATGTTATTTGTTCATATTATAACGAGATGTTTTTCCCAAAACGTTTTAACTACTTTAACATGACATTGTGTAGATCTGCCTGTGATCGTAATAAAATTATCAATAATGCCGAATTATTGTATGATTGGATAATTAACTTTGAGTATATATTAAAATTATATTATATTTGTAAATGTGTTAATACATCTTGTTGAATATGTTAAAAGATATTAAAGGATGAAAGTGGTTTTTTTTTCGTTTTTTCTATTAATCATATTTTTATAATTTATATACTCTACCAACTAAATATTGACCAGCTTGGCAATTCATTTATAATTTAATTTTCATCAATTTTAAATAATTTTTTGACATTTTGATGCTTATCAATGTATTTTATTTTTACATTGAAACGAGGTTATTTGAATGTAATATAGTAGCACTCACTGAACAGGACATAGCTGACGCTTCCTACAGAAAGTTCAGGGGCAGACCGAAAAGCCTGCCTCTCGCCATGTCATACGCTGATCTCATGTTCACATTTTGTGTCCAATGCATATTTATCTTACAGGTGACAGCATTTAATAATTCAGTTTTTTTAAAATGTAAACTTTTATTCAATTTTTTTACATTTGACCATAACTATAAAAATGCATGACAGGCAAACTTGGTTAGCTACATATTCACGACGCACTTTGATGGAATGTTTTCGTTCCTGGCGTCTGTTGTGTACCCGTACCACATGATGCTGCTCTACACCCTATATGCATACGACTACAGGTGGTTCTTCCAAGGTGGGCGGTTTTCATTAGCTTTACATAATATGTTTGGTAGGAAATGTAGTTGTAACTTAACGCGATTCCACATCCGCCACCTTTGTTTACAACATTTGTTGCACAGGATTGGAGGTACAACACAAATTTGCGTACATTGAACAACACTGGCCTTATTTCCTTGGTTTTGGTCTTCCATTGTACATTCTGTCAAATATCAGTGAATCAAATATTCTCAAGTACATTTTGATGTTTTGGTGTTTATTTAAATACAAATAGTTAACTCAGTTTGAGGCATTTGTTTGTTTATATAATAGTAATATAGTGACAGATCCATCCCTCATAATTTCAGCTCTTCCATATTTGCTCTCTGCTATCCAGTGTTCATTGTTGCTGCTAACGAGGCAAAGACAAAGCCAGTCAAATCGTAAGATTTTTTATTTTGCACTCTTTTTTAGTTTGTTTTTTTTTTTTAAGAAAAAGTTGCATTAAAACTCGCACCTTTAAATAAATATAAATATAAAAATTTGAAATTGTGGTTAATAATACTTGATTATAAATATACAGTCATTAATGCATTCATTAAAGAGAGTTAGCTATTAGATGACGGTTTTATATTATGTAATTGTTTTATCGTTAAGTGAAATAGTATTATAAACATTAAACAACTGAACACAGAGGTATTGTGGTGCCGACATTTGCGCCGTCCAGTCGTCTGGCTGACTTGATAATCGTCAAAGGAATAAAGCAGTTGACCTCTTTCATTCAATATATGTCAGAGTTTTTTTCTGGTCCTATTGGTCATAGTTTTCTGTATTGCTGTTACCCATTCACGTATTTTGTCAAATTCTTGTTTCTGTTTTTTAAATTTTTTATTCGACGCAAGACGTTGAGCATTTTTATTATTCTTCTTTTTGTTTCTGTTTTGGCTTGTTGGCTTTTTGTCTCTAGGAATAAGTACTTCCTCTCTCATCTCGTCAACCCTACCATCTAATTAAATGTCGTGCTTTTGGGTTGAAATTTTGTTTCACCGTTTAAGTTATTTATTTAATGATACTTGTAATTTATTTTATTAAATTTTAATTTCAGTTAATTTTTTGTAATGTTCATTTCATGCTTAATTTATTTTTCTTCATGAACTGAAGGATTTGATTTATCATTTATTTTATTAGTTGCTTATTGTTATTCACTATTCAAAATAATTTTATTCAGCAAAGACTGGGATGAAAGAACTTGTATGGCCACTCAAAATCATAAGTAAAAATTATACAATACAAAATTATAGTACCTACGGAAAATCTGACTTAAAAAGACATTGAATCAATATATATATAATAAGTCTGTGTGCGTGCGTGTGTGTTATATCCAAAACTCATCTGTGTATATATTTATATGTTAGTGTGTAGTAATGTGGTTTAATTTATGTTTTTTAATGTTTAACCTATCTATCTGTGTTAATTAAAATCATGTCATTTTAATTTTTTAAAGCTGTCTGTTGTATATATTGATGGACTTTTGATCTTAAATCACTTTTAATTCGGAAGTTGATTTGTTAAAGAAGGTTTCGTTTTTATTCTCATGGGAAATTTCTGAAATAATTCAGTCGTAATGCGTGTTATTAATAACTCTAAATTGTTGTCTGATCGAGTTTCTCTCTGAGACATTTTACGGTAGACAAAGGATTTGTTTGAATTTTTAAAAATGTAAATTACTCAGATTAAATATAGCTGCATAAGAGTCATATTTTTACGTTTAAATATGAGAAAATTTGTGAATTAAGTTGCGCGAAGACTAGCAATTTCTATCTGAAATGAATGTTATTGGTTGATGTGAAATCGTTTTGCCTTGTTTTTTTAATGACTGTATATTGATCGGTGCAATATGTTAATCTTATTAATATTCATAATGGTACATAAATTTGCGGTTTTTGTGTGTTGCGAAGCACCATTAAACTTAATTAAGTAACACTATTCACCTTCCTGGTCGGGACTGGTGGTTATCTAATGTTAAAAATTTATTGCACTCTTTTGATCCAAAACGGCAAGATATAGCCTACTCACTCAACTTTAAACGTATATCATCTTGGCGTGACTTTTCTAAAGTATTCTCAATTATGTTATTGTCTTTTATGGCAGACAAGCAGGCACAATTTAGTCATCCTTCCTTATTTTATGTAGCTATATGTATAAGAATTGTTAGTTGTTACCCATTCCCGGCCACGTTCTCACTTCTCCGTTGAATTATATACGTACGGTATAATTCATTTCATAGAAGAAAAATCTAATGAGTATTAGCTGTTTGACCTCAACGTATATTGATAGGAAATATTTTAACTTCAACGTCGACCAGTCTGATGTATTTAGTATTTTCTCTCTGATGTTGTGTTCTATTTTTACGTAGATTTTATTTTGAGTTATGTAACTATCTATATTATGTATGCTACATAGACCGAAGATGTTGAAAGCTAGCTAAAATCCGGTAGAACATCTTTGATTTTGATATTTTTAAATTCTTCATGAACAGTTTCTTCTGAATTCCAATGTTTATTTTTCTCTTTCTATGCATCTTGTACTTTGTAAATAGCTAATCTTATTAATTTGTAAATAGCTAACCTAATTTTGTATATAGCTAATCTTAATGCATTTAATGTATCGCTAGCATTAAGTGTCGTCCATTTATCGAAATGTATAATATTCTAACCGTATTTTGCATGCTAATTAATGTTATTGACTGAAAACTGAGATGTTACAATTCGTTTTTTGCGTTAATAGAACTTTCAAGCTATTTTTTAAAATGTGCTAATTTTATGATTATTCAAACGAAGATATGTTTTGTGCTGGGTATTAAATGATGTAGCGCAATTTGTTTTGCGTAATGAATGTTGATGCTATGAGGATCCCATCCGCCAGTTAGCATTTTGTAAATGTTGCATATGCAGTTATCTCCCATCTATTCACGATATCATATTTTGTCATTCATAAAATTTAATAAAACACTTAATGAGATACACACATTGTATTTGTTTTTAGTGGATTTGAATATTTGAAGCATTTAGCATATAGATATGTTAGAAATCTTGTCATTTAAAAATAAAATTTTGTTTCGCTGATTGCCTGAACTAGTACATTATATATTGATAAACGGACGGATTGTTTTTTATGAATCTCAGTTTCGTTTGATTTGAATTTTAATAGGTGTGCTCCGCAATGTTCTTGATTACCCTATACTTTCTCTTGTTATTTCAGTTCTATGTAAATCTAACGCAACAAAAAAATAATGATCTGACGCAACAATAAAAATGATTGAGCTCTGACTGAAAGATCTCATGCTACTGTCCTTAATGTGGAATGTGCAAAAGTTATCGATTATGATTATGTTATCACATACGAAATCGTATAAACATCCATTGCGCCCTACAAATGAAACTTATCTGCTTTTGAATGCATCCACGTTACCACCACATCATTTCGACAACAACATGCGACAAGCTGTTCCGTGGTCGTTCCGCTCTAATGAGAAAATTGTTTTTTCTAGGATTCTCGTTAAATAATAATGTGTCCAGCTTCAAATTATAACCTCGTTCTCTTTACATCTTCATCTCTCTTTCAGATTAGGTACTGCACAATGTGTTATGTTGTATTAAAAAAGCAAGATCTATAATGGGAAGAATGCGATAGTGCACTTCCAGCTTAAAATTAGACTAGAGTTTTTTTATTCTTTATAATGCAGCTCCGTCAAACGCAGAAGTTATAAACGTACAAGTTATTTTATGTTTTTAGAATTTTCCTATCGCTTGACTTGGAAATAGAACATTCCATGTTCATTTAGTTTTCAGAAGGAAAAAATTGAATGGTAGTGGATTTAGGAAATCGTGAAGTTCAAGCCCTATCATAAAAGTTCGTGATAACGTTTGATAAAAATTATTTCGTTCAACATATTCTACGTACCATATATGATTAAGAACTATGTTCCATGAATTAACGTCTTTCTCTGGTTCCCGTACCTGGATCAATCCAGTTAAATGTTCTCTCCGTCTTTGCTCACTATTGTCATGTTATTAGGGGTTATTATTAATTGTTATTATTAAATAAATATATAAGTTTTTGAAACAAATGATTTGTTCTTGTTATGTCTCTGAACAAGTGGCCTATGGTATCTTGTATAATAAGTATTATGGGCTTGATCGGGTAATTGGATAACTATAATGATATATGTAGAATAAATAGAATAAATGTAGATTATAATAAAACGGTGTATTAAAAGTTGAGGCCAATAGTTAAGCCATATTTATACTTTTAAAAGGTACGTTATGCGAGTACGCGATGTTTGAAACTACAACTTTTTCTTCTCTAATCGACTTGCTAAAATTATCAAATCAAAGTTAACCTCTCCTCTGAAGTCTTCAAGAAACATTTAGTGACTAATTATTACACGATTAATTTTTAAATAATGAAGCTGCATAATTGTACTGTGATCGTCCTCCTACTAACGGTAGTAGTATTTCACTTTTTTTTAACATTCACCGTGGAGACGGCCAACGTAGTTAATGAGAAAATTGAGCAATTTGCACCGCAACGACCACAACAGCACCCTCCAGTTCCTATAAGTGTAAGACGAACTGAGGCTGGGTACGTTAAATTAATTGAGAGGGTGGAATGTAGAGATGAAATAATCAAAAGATGTCCTAATGTCAACAAGAACTTCCACATTCTCACCTGCCTCCATAACAGCATTCCTGTGAGTTTAATAAGTACTCTTTCTATTTTTTAATTTTTTAATTTATTTATAAAATTTGATCAAAGATTATTAATGTTTTTCTGTTTTTTTTTATAGATAAAAAAGTAGACAAAAACATAAACCATAAAAAGTTATAAATTATATTATATTATAAATATTATATTATAAATGTGATTGTTGATTGATTAAGCGAAATTTATTTATTTTTTTTATATTTTACTTTTATTTTGAATTTTTTCATTTTCAAAATTATTTTAATCTTTAATAACCAAATGTTGTGTGTATTGTATTATCTATTGCGAATATGGATTTTATTATTATATGATGATATTATAGAGTTTTGATCTAAGCTCTGCAATCTGCATTATTAATAATATTATGATTATATAATTTTATTTTAAAAATATTATTAGTTAATTCTAACTATATTTTAATTAATTATGATATTAATTATGATATCATAAAATTAACTTTTAACATGAAAATGAAAGTGCATGGCAGCTACAAATAAAATATTTTTAGCTGCATTTATTTTTTAAATTTAAAAACTTAAAATTGCAGTTAAATGACGAACCTTTGCCTGAAGACTGCCAGAATGTTAGTTGCCAATTGTGTGCCTATGATCTACATTTTTTTGTTTAACTCTCAACTCAAGATTTTCAATTTGAGAGTTTTTATGAAATAAATAGCTTGTTCAGTAATTTATTTATATTATTTATACATTCATAAAAATTATTGTACTTTTAAAATTTAGCTTATATGGGAAGCAAAGTTGAATTTGACAAAAGCAAACAGCATAACAATTGATGGGCTGAGTATTGTATCGTGCAAAGAAGACATCCAAAAAGTTTATATTGTTTTTTTTTTCATTAGTTGTTTTGTTTTTGTTGGTCATTTAGTCTAAAAAATTTTCTTTTAAATTTTGTTGTGTAATTTTTGAAGAATCACATTTTAAAAAGATTCCAGATTGTTTGGAGGAAGAATCAAGGCAAGGCTCAGTGACTTCCTGTCTTATTGAGTTCATAAATAATGTGAAGAGTGTGGATTGTAAGAAGTACCTGGCCATGGTGGAGCCTCTTATCTTCAGTGACTATCGACTCATCTACAAACTTGTTAACGTGTGCCAGGATGACGTCAACAAACTCAAGTGTGGCAGGACTGATGGCAGGATTCATAATCTCAAAGTTTATAACCTTTTCATTTTTTCTGGTTTAAATTTTTTCTCTGGATGTTTTTTCATGAACTAGTTTATTTTTTCATTTAGCAAGGAGAATTATATAAATGATCATCTATTAGATCTTGTATTGCAATAGATATTTGGAATATATAAATATTTACAGGACCAGGGAGCTACTATTGACTGCTTGTCTGAAAACCACAACCAGCTCAGTCCGAGTTGTCGACATGAAATTTACAAGATAGCAGAATTGCAGTCGGCGGATTGGAAGAATGATCGATCTCTCTTCATCGCATGTAGGGAAGATAGGGAGGTCTTTTGTAAGGAGGTGTCGCCTGGCTCAGGAGAGGTCTACAACTGCCTCTATGCCAACAAGATGAACATGGATATGTCAGAAAAGGTTTGTTTCGCTAGGTTTTTAAAAGAGTGCTGTATTTTATTCAATTTCTTTCATAAATTGGGTTGAATTAAACCCCAAAACTATTTGATGCTTCCTTGCCAATTTGTGATCATAACTATCTCATAACTAAAGAAGAACATATCTAAAGAATAAATGAGAAGTCATTCATACATTTTGTCTCATTAGATGTTATATTTGAATTTAATTTTAGTTTTTTGTAAATTTGTTTTCAATTTGTTGAAATTTATTTTCTATTTTCGGTTCAGTGCCGAAAGAAGTTGAGGCAGAGACAGAAATTGCAGCAAGATGACTTTCAAGTGAACTTCAAATTTGCAACTGTTTGCAAGGCAGCCATCGACCAGTACAAATGTTCTGACGGTGCAAAGAACATTTCCGGACATATGTACGCTGGCATCTCAAGCATCATTCTCTGCCTTGAAAAGGTCAAAGTTAAAGGTTTGTATACTGCCTGTTGTCATTGAATAGAACACAGTTGGCCAGGGTCTGTTATAAATTATTAATTGTTTTGAAGTGTATCACTATTTTTGAAGTTTCTTGATAATATTTTATTTTTATGATTTTAACATTTATGCCAATTCATTATCTGACCTCATTACTTAAATTAAGTTGTGTTTAATATGCGTTAATATTATTAGTAACAACAGGTGGCTAACTATAGGCTAATAGTAACATTAATAACACATTCAGAAAAAATTTCATACATTCACTTGTAAACAGAAACTTGATTTGATTTGTGAGCAAAATTAAATTTTCAACTGAACGTAAGGTCGCTTGGTAGAGGATGATTGCCTATCAGAGGTGAAGTCCATAAGACATTCATTGCTGGAGGACCACAAGATCAATCCCGAAGTAGTCACATCGTGCGTGAACGAGATACAGACTTGTGAGAAGAGGGACCTAGACGCTAAGAAACACGTCATCCACTGCATCATGGACATGGTGAGGTCACTCTACAGGAAGAAACACTTGAAGAAGATTCCCAAACCAGATAATGCTGACTCGGATGTTTACGAGGATGCAAATGATAGGGTTGATAATAATAATAATAATCCTGATACGTTGCCAACAGTTTCCTCTCCTTGTATTATGTCGGTCAGTAGTTTTTTTTTAACAACTTTTAAAGTTAAACAAATGAAGAGTAAATATAATGTTATATTATATCCTGTGTTTAAATGCATGCATGGTGTTAATATGCTACAACGGCTTCACCTTAGGCAAAACTAAATAAACGCATATAAAGTTCAATTTTTAAACTTTTTTTATAATTTGTCATTAAAATTTCATTTGTTAGCCATATAACTGACTGCATTAGGCAAACAACAACATAATTTAAATATGCAGGTCAACCTTTACTACTTTCAGTAGATGTGGATCATCACTAACTGTTTTTTATTTTAAACTTTGTTTGTCCTTCATCGTTATAATGGGGTTCATTTCTAGAAATGTTTGTAAATGAATGGTACTGACTGACACAGCATGACCACCGTCGCCACAATTAGGTGGAGAGGCTGCTGAAGGAGGTGAACGTTCGCGACAACTTCGACGTTGACCCAGCTCTCAAGCAGGATTGCGCCATGAGCATTTCCAGGGCCTGCCAGCTGGTGGAACCTGGCAAGGGCAGGTTGGCAGATTGTATGGAACATTTCAATTTTTATTTTACTATGAAAAAATTGGTTAAATAAATTTCATTAATGATTGATTTGAAAATAAATAAAAGTCATTTAAGATATAAGGATTTGAAAAATAAAAAAATGTAACTGTGAGTTCGACGCCAACCAGAATGATCAGCTGTTTGATGGGTCACTTGAACAAACCTCGCATGTTGGACAAAGCCTGCATGGATCGGTTGATGGAGATTCAGTATTTCCTCTCCAAAGATTTTGGGTGAGTGATGCGTCGTCTCCCCGTCCCGTTCTGTTCTTTCGTCAGACTTTTAGAAGAACATCAAAAGTTATGGAATTCAGCGTGGATTTAGCTAAATCTTCTAGTCTCAACATTTATCAAAATGCTTTCACTTTTTTGTTTGCTAGTTCTTTTGTAAGTATACACACACGCACACACTCACACATCCACGTACACACACATATATGATTACGATTTTCTCTTGAGTATTTCTCAGAAGTACCAACAACAAACATGGCGTATGTACGTACACAAATACACGTGAACTTTTGTATTGCACATTGCACGCAATATTGTACAGTACAGTGTAGTACATACATATACCTTGCACACACACACACACACACAGTACATCAATTAGATTCATGGAGACTTGTGCGTCGGATATATCATCATTGTGCTCCAACGACATTCATCTGCAGTTCAACCACCAATCCGAGCAGCTATCATGTCTCTACAGGAACAAATATGATAAGGTCTGTTGGTTGCTCCATGTCTCCCTCTTACTCTCTCTCTCTTTCTCTCTCTCTCCCTCTCTCTCTTTCCCTCTCCCTCTCTTTCTGGTAATGCTGTTATACATGTATGTTGTCCTCATATTGTTATAATGTTGACATCACTACATGAGTTTCATCATGTTTCATTGCCATCATACGTTTTGTATGGCAAGGTTGAATATTACACAAAGTGTTATAGACACAATTACACAAGTGTTATAGATTGATTGATTGATTGATTGTTATAGACACAAAACTGTTATCTGAATGTTGTATGTTATTCAAGTTATTCACTGGGTCTCCATAAAAGTTTGTAAGGGTTTATAAAGATTCATAATGCTGCTTGACAATCAGCTAACAGAGGATTGCAAGTCCGAATTATATCAGTTAATGACTGACAGAGCACTGAGTGTTGACCTACCTGTTGACGTTCAAGATGCCTGCATGTCAGATCTCATACAGTTCTGTGCCGTTGTCTCCAAACGAGATGAGGTTTGTCTAGTTGCTTGCGTTTTTTTGTTGTGTTGCTTCTGTGTGTTCTCTGCGATGTTGTATGCATTCTCTCTGGTGTTGTGTGTGTGTGTTCTGCCTGGTGTTGTACACTTTCTGTCTGGTGCTGTGCGTGTTCTGTGTGTTTTTGTGGTGGAAAGATGGATGGAAAGATGTTTCTTCAATTGTTTGGATTTGTAATTAATTTAGGATTTTTTTTATGGCTGACAATTAATTTATTATTTCATTTAAAAATGGTTAAATTACTCAAGTCAACTTTTTGTGAAAAAAAGAAGATGACTAAAAAAGCAATATGAAATGCAAAAATATATCACATTCACATGCATGCATGCATTCACATAATACGTGCATGTTTGTTTAGAAGGATGTTTTTCTTTATTGACCTTCTGTTGAATACTATAGCGGATGGTTGAGCTGTTATATGAAGTTGTCGTTGTCTTATCGTTATCATAATTTTTTCGTTATCATCAACACGTCGATATGTTGTAAAAAAAGAGGATCATCTGTCTTCTAAGAAATCATCATCATATCACATCGTTTTCGTCACCACCATCAGATTACATTGATATCATTTTCATCATCTTGCCTTGGTCTCCGTTGCATACTATCATTATAATCATATTCATCGTCTTCATCATATTGTCATCGTCAAATCATCATCATAATATTATTGTGTTATCCCCTTGTTCATCGTCGTCGTCGTAATAGTCACCGTTATAAATAGATAGATAGATATATATAAATATCGGTATCAATATTGTTATTATTTCAGCACTACTTGCATCATCGTATCATCAGCCACTCATCTCAGACTCCAGCATGGCTCCAGCTGTTTCTTTCTTTCTCTTTGAGTTTTTCAATCAATCATTTCCCTCTATTTATTAATATTTGTTTTCAATACTGTATCGACAGATTTTATTTTTTCTTTTTTACTTACTTTATTGCTTATTATTTTATGTTTTGTTTCGTACAGTTAGTTAATAAGTTTTTATGTTTGTTTGTTTGTTTTTGTATGTGTGTCTGCCTGTATGTTTATGCCATTAATTATTGTTTTTGATTGTACTATTACTTTTTGTAAATGATAATCTAATTCGTGCTGCTCTGCAGACATATTATTATTATTGTTATTATTTACTCTCTTATATATTATTTACATCATGATCACCTGCTGCCATTGTTTGTCAGTTTTTGAAATTTCAAAATTTTTAATTTCGTTAAACAAATTAAATTTTTTGTACCATAAACATTTCATCACGATTTCACTTTTTCATCTCATGATCACATCACATCATCTTTGTGTATGTGTGTACGCTTGAATTATTATAGAACTTTCTAAATAAAAAAATTTAAAAACTGAAAAAGCGGACCTCGCATTTAGTGCGAAAGCTCTCTCGCCACATCCTGGCAGCCGTTTATGAAGAAGTAGATAAAAAAAAGTGCACCCGTCTCAAATTAGTTATATAAATAATCCTATCTAACTATTCACTTGCCTTAGCTAATAATGTCTAAGCCTCAACTTACCTATTCATTACAATTAAGCCGTAGCTTACCCAAAATTACAAAACTCGTGAGCCTAATTCATTTGCCAATCGGCCCCACCCCACCACCTACAAAAAAACATGTTAAAAAATTGTCTCTCCCAGTCAACGAGTCGAAAAAATTTGGTATTTAAATACATATGCGGCCCTTCAAAGGTCAAATAGTTTCCAATGCGGCCCTTTAAAGGTCAAATAGTTCTCAATGCGGCCCTCACAGTTAAAAGTTTGCCCACCCCTGCATTACAGTCAATACTCATCTGCACTATCGATCACATCTTAACACCGTCGCGTAATTGACAACAGGAAATGGATTGTCTGGAGGATAATTACGACAAGTTGGAGCCACGGTGTCAGGCGGTGGTTTCGAAAATGGTGGCCGAGGAGGAAGAGATGCCACTGATGAGTCGTCTGGTCATCGAGGCATGCGAACCGATGTGGCACAGTGTATGCAAGGTACCTGAATGTTGGATGGATGGATGGATGGATGGATGGATGGATGGATGGATCGAAGGATGAAAGGATGTATGGAAGGATGGATGAATGGACGGTTGAAAGCATTTTATCGAAGTTCGAGGTTTTTATTTGACAAATTTTAATGAAAGTTTGATGAAATGTTGTTGAAACTGTTATTTTGAGGATGAAAGTGGTGCATTTATTTATCAAAATGGGACAAGAGAATCGTTTCTGTCATAACAAAATCCACTTTTGGTAGTAACTTAACCCATCCTGAATGATTTTCAATTTCAATTTTTCGATACAGATTTATTTACATGTAATGTTCCAACATTCAAATGCCACAATTCTCTGACATTGAATTGACAAGGCGGTTGTATTATGATACTTGCATGTTTGAGTTGTGTTTCAACGGATATGATTTGGTTATTGAAACTGTTTGAAAATGATTGACGTAACTAAATTTTTCTATTCAGTTATAAAAATATTATAATTAAAAAAAAATGATTGCAGCCTGAAATTGAAGGAACGCAAAAAAGGAACTCTTTGAAAAAGTCCAATGAGGTAGTAGGAGGAGATGGTGGGGGTGAGGTTGATGACGAAGTGGGTGACGTGAGTGACGAGGATATCATGAAGTGCCTCATCCAACACAAGAACGATGACAACATGCCCAAGAAGTGCAAGGCTGGTGTGGAGCACCATCAGATTGTTAGTCGTTGTTGCTGGCACTTTTGCCCTTCCCTTGTCTTAGTTTTTGCACTACTCTCGGCTCTATGCTGACTGCATACATAATTTTTTATTTATTTCCTCATTTGTATACAAATTACGTAATAAATTTTATTCTCCATCATTAAAGGGGATTAATGAACTTGTTTGTTTCAGATAACATTGAGAGATGTACGTTTATCACCAAAGTTCAACAAATCGTGCTTCAGGGACGTCAGAGTCTTCTGCGGCAGATTCCATGCATTGTTAGTTCTACTGCTAGTTCTATTTGTTTGCCTGTTTGTGTGTCTGTATGTCTGTTTGTTTGTGATTAATTGTAGAGGTTGGTTGGTTAGTTGACTGATTGATTGACTAATTGATTAATCAATCAATCAATCAATCAGTTAGGAGTATGATTAGTAGTTGATTGATTGGTGACTTATTTATGATGACATGATTTATTGAATGTTAATAATGAAAATTAATAGCAATAATAATATTGACATTAAATATAATATATGCACTTGAATTAATTATCTAAACAAAAAAAAACCTGGCAGATCAGACATAGTGAGGTGTTTGAGTGAGGTCAACCTGAACGACACATTGATGGATCAGCCACTGAGGTTGCACAGGAAATGCATTAGACGTCTGCAGTTTGAACAACTTCAAATTGTAATCCGCCATTTCTTATATTCGTTGTCTTTTTCAATGTCAGTGTTCTTTTATTTGTTATTGGTAACAACATACTTGCTGAAGTTAAGTGTGTGTGTGTGTGTGTGTGTGTGTGTGTGTGTGTGTGTGTGTGTGTGTGTGTGTGTGTGTGTGTGTGTGTGTGTGTGTGTGTGTGTGTGTGTTGGGCTCTTGCTGGTAGATGCTGTTTAATAACTTTTTGTATTTGTTTAATGTATTAATATTTGTTTGCATTGTTTGCACGCTGAACGCAGAGTGAGAACATAAAATTGGATCCAGCGTTGGCGAGTGAATGCAGGGAAGATATTGAACAGCACTGTTCCAATGTTAAAGCAGGACAAGGAGCTGTTAGTAATGCTCTTTCATGTTGCAGTCTTTTATCGTCGTTGTTGTTGCTGTTGTTTGCTGTCGTTGTGTTGTTGCTACTGATGCTCTGCTGTTTTGCTGTTGAATGTTTTACCGTTGTTTTGTCGTTCTGCTGAATGTTTTAATGTTGTTTCATTGTTCTGCCGCATGTATCTATGCTGTTTTGTTGTTTTGTGATGTTGTACTTTGATGCTGAAGAACCCAAACTATTTGTCGTTGCTTGGCTTGTTGTTGGTTATAAAATTGATCGTTCTTTAGTGTAGGGCTTTTTATTTATGAATTAAGCCATTCAGTTGTTGTTTAATTGTTTTCAAAGTTAATTCTATCAGTAACAAACCGTTTTACTGCCTTTGTGTGTTTCGTTCCATCCAGCCTATCTCTCCTCATGTTGCCAATCATTTCGCAAATTCTACAAGAGCGAGCCAGCCATGGCATCCACGATGTTTTAAAATCTTACCTTCTACCTTCCAGGCTCTGTGGTCTATCTGTCTCATTGAACGAATGTCAGAGCCTGGTGGATATAAAATAAGATGTTAGATGGACAACCTTGAGGATATGAAATTCAATAATATTTAGTGGATATTTTTTAGGCGCCATTTCTTACTAACTTGAATTAATTTTTTGCAATCTTTCATATTTATTTCACATTCAAGTGAAAATTATTTGATTGGAAAATATTATTACATTATTATTTACGACATGAAGATATTGGAATGCTTGAAAGGTCACCAGAAACTATTGAGTGCCAAATGCGTTGCACTGGTCTTCAAAAGAGAGGTTCACTTTTTTTTCATTTACGATTTTATCTGTCTGCTGTTTGATCGTTTGTTTTTTGTTTGTTTGTTTGTTTGTATCCCTATCTGTTTGTATATTTTTGTTTTCTCTGACTGTTTGATAGTTTATATCTCTATGTGTTTATTAACTTTTCGTCGCATCGTTCGTTTTCAGTAACGATTTCTTCTTTCAGTTACACTCCGCAGTTTATTTTTCAAGTTAACGGACGTAGCGTACGAAATATTGTCGCACGTTTTAACACCGCAGTCTGATGATGTCTGCGCTCTATGTATGTACCTGACACAATCATACTGAGATTTACTATATCTCGTCTAAATGAAACGGTCGTCATTCAACTTTTATGGAGGGTGTTGATACTGATGATGGTGGCGATAACGATGATGATGGCGATGCTGGTGGTAATGATGATTTTGAGTATGATAATAATGAGAGAAGGTTGATTTTATGATTGATTGATTGATTGATTGATTGATTGATTGATTGATTGATTGATTGATTGATTGATTGATTGATTGATTGATTGATTGATTGATTGATTGATTGATTGATTGATTGATTGATTGATTGATTGATTGATTGATTGATTGATTGATTGATTGATTGATTGATTGATTGATTGATTGATTGATTGATTGATTGATTGATTGATTGATTGATTGGCAGATGGTTGAGGCTAACAATCCACAGACTGACTACGTCATCATGAACAAATGCAAGCATATGATCATGGTTGGTTCGCTGGTTATTTATTATCATCATCATCATCATCATGAATGAATGAATGAGTGCGTGGGTTAGTGAATGACCGAATGAATGAATGAATGAATTAATTAATTAATGTTAATTGTTAATTTACAGAGATACTGCTCTGAATACACAGAGAGGCCACAGTTGATACTTGACTGCTTGAAGAAGAACAAGGAAGAGGATAGATTCGACATGCAGTGCCGAGACGTAGTTAATGACAGGCTCAGGTTGAGAGCGTCAGGTGCCTGCTGTTGTTGGATGATGATTTTTAATCAATCACCATCACATATCTCGAATTACATTTTTCTGAATTCGTTGCTCCAAACAATGACAACTGGACAGACAATCAAACAAACAGACGGACATTCAAACAGACAAACTAATGTATATGCATCTTCAACAGCATCCACAACAATTTCAACCACAACAGCTTCAACCACAACAACTTCAACCATAACAACTTCAACTACAACAACTTGAACCATAACAGCTTCAACCACAACAACACCACTACAGACATAAGACTGAACCCCACATTGAAGTCGGCCTGCAAGGAAGACATCCCCAAGTATTGCGAGAAGCAACTGGAGAAGTTGAGCAGTACGGACACATCCGCTGACGGGATTGTTGTTGCTTGTCTCAAAGGTGTCTATGCTCATTCTACAAACGGGGTTAGCAAATTGTTTCCACACTTTTAATTTTTACAATCTTAAACTTCATAAAATAATAAATCAAACAACCAATGGAAATTAACTTAACTCGTTTCAAAATGCAATAATCCTTTTTCATATGGCTGCCGTAATTAATAAAGGTGTTCTTTTATCATGAAAAAACATGAAAGGACTTGTTTATATGATTTGTAAAAATCATTTTCATTGACCTCCCACGTGGACAACAGAGATTGATGACGCAATCGTGCCAGAACCTAATCCACGAGGCCATCAGGGATGCGGCTGTTGATTACCTGCAGGACGTCGCACTCGTGGCCAGCTGCAGGGATCTAGTCCGTTTCCTTCATATTCTCTTGTTTAATTGCTAATGTCTCCTTTTTTTTTAACGAACTTATTCACTTTGTAATAATTTTTATATTATTTTTAGTTTGATGAGTTTTTCAAGTTGATATTTTTATTAAAGTGTCTAATTTGATTGAGTTAAATTTGGTGGGATTTAGAGTAAACAAGACGTTTATTATATCTGGTATTGATTTTAATGGAAAGAAAAGTCAACAGATTGCATGGATGACACCTGATGAAATATTTCTTTAAAACTGGTACATAAAGATGAACATTTGTTTATGTGTTTCTCATAAAGCTTCATTGGATTGTCAGACAACCATGTTTTTTAAATATAATTGTTTTAGAATGCAAAAATTGTTATTGAGTTTACTGAGCATCCAAGTGATGTTGCAGATAAGAGACCACTGTTCAAAGGAGTCGTTAAGACAGTCCATTGCACGTCACAAGGACACCGCTGATGTGGTCGACTGCTTGAAAGAAAAATTGCTTACTTCCAAGGAGCTACGTGACGCTAATTCTCCATGCCTTAATGTTTGTTTTACCATCTAGTCATTGTATCTCTCATTTTTGAGTGTTGTGTTTATTGACTGTTGTCATTATTGTTTGTCGGATTTACCTTTTTTTACCACATTAACTTCTTGATGCAGGAAATATTTCGTAAGTTGAACGAGAGCTTGGTTGACTTCCAGGTTGATCCTCTGCTCTACAGAACTTGTTTTGATGATGCCAAGTCCATCTGTCCAATTGCACAAGGGAATGGACGAGGTTAAGTAGAAATGGTTCATAGTTGAATTTTAATTTATTGTTAATTTAATTATGTTTTTAATTAATTTTACTTTACTCTAGTGAAAAATAGTAGCACGAGTTTGAGGATTTTAGACATTTTTTTCCCTCTCTTGTGATCGAAAATGCGTGTAGTACTTGAATTAATATTTGTAGTATTATTGTGCCAATAGCTTTTTTGTGACTGAATGTTTATTGCGCAGTTATGTCATGTCTGGTCGATGCCTACAACAACAAAGTGGTCATGAGTAGTGGGTGCATGAAAGCCCTGAAAGATCGCACGGAGCTCTGGGGACTTGCCATGAGGGTTTGTTCCATTTATTTCCATCATTCATCTGTCTTGAAATATTTGCTTTTCGGATTTATTTTAAAATTTTGTAAAAGTTCAATAATTTTTGTGAACAAAACTGAATTGAATTTTTTTTTATTTCGCAATAGCTGGCTCCTCCCGAAAATTTCATGGAGATGGCAGAACATATTCAACTTTCTAACTCAAGAAATTATTTCCTTTTTGTTATCTTCTCATTCAGCCTCATTTTATTTTTCACTGGTTTATTCTGTGGCAGGGTTACCAAGAGAATTAAGAGAGCGGAAAAAATTAAATAAGACTTTTTTTAATTTTGTTTTTTGTTTCAATTTATTTTTTTTGTTTGAATTTTTACAGTTGTTTGTCTTGAATATTTACTGAGTTTATTCCAGATTTCAATTTAAATTGTTTTAATCTTATGAATTGTATGGATATTTAGGGCTACTTGTATTATTTTTAAGTTTATAACTTTTCACATTCTCGTTAAACATGATTCCATTTTTAATTTTGCTTGTTTTTTTGTTTCTAAAATTTTTAATCAATTTTATAATAAAATAAATATAAAGTCATAAATTCGTGCATAGATTAATTTAACCAAATAAAAACAACAAATCGATATTGCCTCTTGCGTTGGCGTGATTCAATGTTGGTTAGGATGAGGAGTCGACAACGAAACGTTCCGGAATGTTCGGTCTGTTAAAGTGGTCGAAGTGAATGTTCTGAACTGATACTGACTGCCCCTTCAGACTGCATCCCTTCATCAAGGAGTCTCTCGAGTAAACTGCTACTTGTCGAAATTTTTTATTTTCTACAGCTGTACCACTCCTGATTGACCTTCTGATACTTGATGGGGTTAAGAAATTTGGCATGCTACCGATTGTGAAACGTCTATCCAGTGTGTTTCTCAGCGTGATTTGAACATTGTGTTTCAATGTACTCCACGGATTGTAATTGTTTGTCATTGAGTTTTTCGAGTTATGCATGTCATGTTTAACTTTTCCGTAATTTTGACCTGAATAAGAACGTTCTCGCTTGGATAAATTGTTATTTCCATAATAATTATTGAAATATCGCATTAAAACTCCCAGCGTGGTTCTTTTGCCAGCCTCGAACTCCCAACATTTGTTTATTATTTCGTAAGTCAACTCGTCGCATGTGCTCGGTCTGTCCAACTTGAGGCTGGTCATTGTAAAAGCGATTATTTCCTGGTTACATTTTTCTTGATGGGGTAGAGCTCCACCGCTAAAAACTTCCCAAAGTGTCAATCCCAGCGACCAAATGTCGGATTTGGTGCTGTACTTGAGCCTTTCCATCACTTCTGGCGAGGCATATGTTACATCCAGCTGTTCGTCATCTTCTGCAGTGAATGTGTCCTGCCTAGTCAGGCGGGCCTTGTCGAAATCACCAAGTTTAATTACGAAACTGTCCGTGACGTAAAGAGAAGAAGTCGATATATTCCTGTGAATTATAAAATTTCTCCGTTCTAAGTAAATTGCCGCATTTATTATCTGAAGGCAAATAGTTTTAATTGATACGATCTGCGGGTTTGGTAAAGTTTTGTTCAGCAGGCAGGTTCTTAACTTTCCGTAATGCGTATATTCAGTTAAGATATAAAAAGGTTCTTGCGAAAAACTAACACCAATGAAACCGGTGATGTTTTCGTACTTTATAGATTTCAATAAACTCGCTTCATAGACAAAATTTTCTAAAATTGGTAGTGTGTGTTTTGCGACTAAAACCTTGATTTCTGCTTTGGTAATCTGGTTAACATCATTTTCCACGACTCCATAATATTTTTCTTGCAAAACGTTGTTGCTTTTTAGTTTGTCTGCTAAGATGATGAATTTTCGATTGATTTCGTCTTTAGAATCAAAACTACGAAAAATGTTGGAGTCACTTTTCAACGGTCTCCTCAACCTGGTGATCAAATTTCTTTTATCATTCTGATAATGACTTATCATTTGTTTAATAGCGAGGAAGATTTTTCCATCATCTTCAATGACGTAACAACCAGTTGGCAGTTCTTTGATTTCGTAGTGAAACACTTCACCTTTCGATAGCACGACTGACAAGTAGCACACAATTTTGCATCCCTTCGAATCGATCGCGTCCACCCCAGTTTTGTAAACTAAAAAACAACCTCTGTAGTCAACGTCTTTCAAAAATAACGTCGCTTGGTATGGTGATATGGGAATGGGATAAAACCATGGCTCCTGTGAAAAATCATCAAAAACGTTGGTTGCATTTTCTGATAATATGAGAGCGTCCCCGTCTTTGTCGTTTGCTAGGATAACAGCAACTGAACTGTCAAAATTGTGTGTTAGGCGACTGATCAACAAGATGACAGTTCCTTTTTTCAAAATTTTCACGCCGTCAAAAGTAGTGTTGATGGCAGTGTACGGTAGCGAACAGTTGCGTTTTTTGTACTGCTTTTTTGGCCTAAACTCGTCCATGACATCGATTTCTTCGTAAGGATAATTTTCAACAAGTTTGTCATTCATTAAATTCCAATTAAATTTACCTGAATATGGATAAGATACGTGATCCCATCTAGAATTTTCTTCCATTTCTTCACAACCGTTTTCAGATAGCTTGTTCCATGGATATGCACTGGATTCGTTGCAAATATCATCAAAATTGTTGTCGTCTACGTCGTCGTCTCCGTCATCGTCGTCATTCTCGTCTTCAATTGAAGAGGCGGCCAAATTTACTTTGAGTTTAAAATTGACTGACTTATTTTCCTTTGCACATCCGATTTTCTTTTCTTCACAACCAGCAGTCTGAATGTCTTTATTAGCAAGAAGATTCTTGTCGACAAAAACTTCCTGGTCTTCAATCGATGAAAAATATGCCAGTGCATCCGATTTTTTAAACTTTTTGAACTTTACGTTTTTTATTAATACTAATGTTCTCATTTCGAAGTTATAATTCATTATACCAATTATTGCAATTAAAAAATTACATCAGCCAATGTTATTAGAACATTCTAATTTGACATTTATTTAAATTTTTAGAAAAATTATTAGCGTATGTAACGCCGTTAGACGCAGTTCTATTCACTTGCAGTTAATTTAGTGTGATGCCTACACGCCAGCATGCAGTTTATGAAACAAAACACGTCGTTTGATCACCAAGTTTGAATAGCAGAAAGTAAATATTGCTACATAGTGTCAAAATTAAAATAATTATAGGGCGAGGATGCATTATTTTTGAATTGTTTGTATAGTATGAAACGCTTGTTATTGAACTGGCATCAAACATTTAAACGCCAATTGCAAACACGCGTTACAGTATACACATTACTATTATATATTGATAGCATCGTTGTTTGCCCGTTGATCTATTTCAATCATAGCAGAAAACATCAAATGAATGCCCTATGTGTTTTATTATAAATTCATACAATAAATTACCAAGTTTCATTCATTTTATCTCTAAGCATCCATTTCAACCATCAGTTCATCTGCCCATCAATCTATTTTTAATCTGCCAATATGTTTAATTTAATTTTTACAATTAGTCAGGGCGGTAGGACATGATGCAGGTGAGTTATGTTGAGATGAATTAGTTTTCTGATTAGAGATTGTAGTTGTTGAGGTTGTTTTACCCTTAAGTCGCGTCATTTTAGATATTTAAAAACTGGTTTTTAATAAAATTTAGAATTATTACTCTTTGCTTTGTTCTCCTTACCCATATAACAATTTCCACGGGTTCCTACATAGGAGAACGTCAGGTTGCAAGCATAAACACTTGAAACATTAAAGTTGAAATACTGTCAACCTTGAATGGCTTTTTGAACGTCGAAAAGGCACTGCACTTACTCAGTGTAAATGTGTCATCTGTAAATTTACAAGCCAGAATAGCAGTCAAGAAATAAAGTAAAAAAGAGAAATATTGATTAAAGCATATACTATACATACGTACATAATTATTAAATTATAAAACTAATTAAAATGATTAACCTGTATTTCAATTCTAGAATGTGCGCAACATTTATAATAACAACACGAAAAACATTGTTTAACACACACAACAGATGAGATGTCAATCAATTTTTAAATGCAATCAGCTGTTCGGATATTTGAAGGTCACCCGCTTAATAGATCCGTTACTAACCGGTGTCCCACTCTTCGTTTGTGACCAGATTGCTGCTGAATTTCTGCTAAATTGCAAATTATTTGTTATGGCGGTTGGTGTTTAAATACTTGGTATAATTTTTGTTAAACGTTTTCTTTCAAGGACAACTACGTAAATTGTAATTTTATGTGTGAATAATTAATTTTTAATATTAATACTAAGAATAACAAATAATAATTAAAAAATTAAAAATGAATGATAAATTTCTCTAATTTCTTTTTTTTTCCTACTTCATCTTCAGGGTGAATATCGCACTGAATCCGATTGCATTGGGGAGATAAAGGTTCCGTCAAATAAATATTATGGATCCAATACTGCCAGGTCTCTGCAAAATTTTGACATTGGTGGTCCCCACGAAACAATGCCGGTTTCTGCTTATTTTAATTTATTTTTCCAACATTTGCATTTGCAACTCAATCATCAAATTAGACTTAAATTAATTAATTAGGTTACCTGGTTACCAAACTTTTAATTTAAGTGTTAATTAAATTAAATGGAATTTTCTACTTCAGGTGCTTTTACTGAACGTTTTAAAAATTTTCAAATATTTTTATTCATTTGTAATAATATTGTATGTTAATTGTATAAATAAATTTCTAGATTGAGGTTATCAAGGGCATGGCTATATTGAAGAAGGCAGCTGCAATTGTCAATAAAAAGTATGGCTTAGATGAAAAAATATCCAATACCATTGTTAAGGCAGCTGATGAGGTGGTTCATTTATTTCTATAAAAATTCTCTATCCTTCTTTTTTGATTTTGCTGTAAAATCCATTCACATTAACATGTTGGATTTTACAATTTTTATTGAATGTTAAATTAGTTATTTTTGATCCATTTATGTACTAGTGCTCTGATCATCTGAATATTTATGTTATCTGCTAAAAATAAAATTTTTAAAAGTAATTTTTTTGAAAAAGTTTCTCCAAAATAAGAAAATTATTTATAATAAAACTTGAATTTATTAAACAGGTGATTGAAGGAAAGTTGGATGATCACTTCCCACTCGTTATCTGGCAGACTGGCTCCGGAACTCAGACGAACATGAATGTTAATGAAGTCATTGCCAACAGAGCCGTTGAAATGCTTGGTGGAAAGTTAGGATCTAAATGTCCAGTGCATCCAAATGACCATGTCAATATGAGTCAGGTTGCAATGGGATTATGTTACAACCATCTTGAAAATACTTTCAGACATTTTCATCATATATTGAATCAATTTAAATTAATAAATTTTGTTTAAAACTCCAGAGTTCAAACGACACATATCCATCAGCCATGCACATTGCTGTTGCCATAGCAATTAAAACTCAACTGGAGCCAGGTATACAGCAACTGCATGATGCCCTTAAGCAGAAGGCATGCCAGTTCAAGGATATCATTAAGATTGGCCGGACCCACACACAGGTTCATGTTTTTTTTAAGTGAATGAATGCTGCTACTTTGTGCTGATGTTTGTTTGATTGCCTGTTTCATTTGCATACATCACAAACATCATGTCTTATGGAGTAATGTTTCAGAGGCTCATAATTTAATCATTTATCTATGTATCCATTATTTTTTCATTCATCTATAATATATTCATTCACTCCTTCCATCAGGATGCCACCCCTCTGACACTTGGCCAGGAGTTCAGTGGATACGTCCAACAGCTCGCCAATGATCTGGATCGCATAAAAACATTCCTTCCTAGATTGTACCAACTTGCTGCCGGTCAGTCCAGTAAAATTGTTTGTCGTCTGTGAGGTGGCTGGGAGTGGGAGGATTCGTTCTTATTATGGCTATTTAGAGATCAAGTTGATTAGTTTTGACTGGCTATCAAGTGGCGTTTCTGAATTATTGGTTTCAGTGGATTGGTTGCTGTCTTAATAAACATTAAAAGTTGTGAAGTGACGATGTTGGTGCATGATTGATAGGTGGAACAGCTGTGGGCACTGGACTGAACACGAGGATTGGATTCGCTGAAGGAGTCAGTGAGGCTATTGCTCAGCTTACAGGTGAGTTAGCTGGATGGGAGGAAGGTTGAGGATCGATGAGTGAATGTGGAAGCAATTAAACAAGCTTATTAGCTGAGTTATTTTACATTTTGAAAACAGTATAATACGTCTTTGAACTGTTTATATTGAATTTTATTTTATATTATGGTTTTTAAAATAATTTTAATGAATTCAATTGATTGTTAGGGCAATAAATGCATGAATTTACATTGAAGTTTATCCTAAAATGAAAAATGTTTGTTGTTGAATTTACAAATAACTTTCTTTCATTGTAACTCATCAAATATTTACAATCCCACTAATCAGGCATCCCTTTTGTGACGGCCCCCAACAAGTTTGAGTCCCTGGCCTGCCACGACACCCTGGTGGAGGTGAGTGGTGTGCTAAATGTGGTTGCCTGCAGTCTCATGAAGATTGCTAACGACATTAGGTACGTTGCATCATTCTTCCTGGCGTTTGTTTTGGTTGAGCATCGTCAGGTTGCTGTTTTTTCATCCATGTTTATTGTGTTTGAATATTATCGTGTCATTTTAAATAAGTTTTCAAAATTTTTATTGAAATTTATACAGTCAGATAGATCAACCAGTGATCTAATTACAAATATTAGATCATAGTTATTGCTTTTACTATGCTGTGTTCTTCAATTTTCGTGAGACCTATTTAGAAGAGATAGCATTGAAACAACAAACACTACAGGTTTCTTGGGTCTGGTCCAAGGTGTGGTCTCGGAGAACTGCAACTGCCTGAAAATGAACCTGGATCAAGTATCATGCCAGGTTATTTTTAGAACAACTTGATTTTTTCTTCACATTACGTTGTTTAAAAATAACATAAAGAAATATTTATTGAAAAAAAGTACAATTTTTATTCCATGAGAATCTTGTATTTTGTTGCTTTTGTTTTAAATTTGAGTTAATTTGTTATAATTTAAAAAAATGATGTTGTAGTATTTATTGAGGTAAATTTTTGTTAAGAATGTTTGACGCTTTGAACAACTTGTATATGGTGGCTTGCCAGCACACCAGAATTTATTTTTTACTCGGGTTTCCAAATCATCACCATATTTTGTTTGATTGAGTAAAATAAATTTGAACTTGATCACCGAAATTTTACATTTTAATTTTTATAAGTTTATCATTATAACATGTTTGTACGATTAACTTCATATAAAAAAAACTGCTTATAATAAGCATTGCCAGACATCATCATCACACTCACACATTATCATCACCCTCACACATCATCATCATCTTCACACATCATCATCAACCTCATGGCAGGTAAGGTGAATCCGACCCAATGTGAGGCAGTCACCATGGTGGCGTGTCAGGTGATGGGCAACCACGTTGCCGTCACTGTGGCGGGCAGCAATGGTCATTTTGAGCTGAGTGTCTTTAAACCGGTTATCGTCAGTAACGTGTTGAGGTCCATTCGTCTGATTGCAGATTGTTGTCGATCGTTCGCGAAGAATTGTGTGGTGGGCATCAAAGCCAACGAGGAGCGCATTTCTCGTTTGCTGAACGATTCGCTCATGCTCGTCACCGCCCTCAACCCACACATCGGATACGACAAGTGCGCCAAGATTGCAAACCACGCCCACAAGAATGAACTGACCTTGAAGCAGGCAGCTCTGCAATTGGGATTCCTCACTGAGGAGCAGTTTAATCAGTGGGTCAAGCCAGAGAACATGTTGGGACCTAAGTGAAGTGGTCCGATGATCTCTGTAGATGATGGCATGTTTCATTTTGTCGTTGTTTCTTTCAGTTGTAGTGGCGTTTTACTTTGGCGTCGTTTGGTTCGCGATTATTACTCAAAATTTAGAATGTTATTTCATTTTAGGATAGCACTGAGAAACTTCTTTTATTGAGTCTTCGCATGCAACATTACAAAATTCTGAATTGCTCGAAACCTGTCCTAATGTTTTTTTTTATTTTTCCTCCAAATAATTCTTTAAACATTTTTTCTTTCAACAAACGTTTCATTGTTTTGCTACTTGTAAATGATTATTCCGTTGAAGATCTTCCTAGCTACATGGTGATTAATTTCATTTGAAACTTGTTGCGTCAGCTTCATTTATATTCATTTTTTTAAGTTTTCAATTAGGATAAATTTTTAGATGCCACGTACATTCGTGCATCTGTTATTTAATTGTTGGTGATCGATGTTTAGAGTATAATACCAACTTGTACCGTTATATTAATAAAATACTAGTATAGTATGAAAAAATTGATTTTTTGAAGACTTTGAGGTAAGAACATTAAAACTTTCATTTTAGAAAACTTTATAATTCATTTAACAAAAAATTGAATAATTTGCTTTAGAAAAACTCGGCTTTCGTAATATTGGATATATAGATCAACAATTATAAACTTGAACTGGTTTTTGTAATGAAGTTTTCAATGTCATATCATGTTGAAAAATATTTACATGGAAAATGCAGTTAATTTATCAAATGTGTGCATCGCTGATGTTGTTCCACACAGGAATGCATTTGAAGGAAGAGGTTCCAGTGGATTTTGTTCAATCCATGGTTTGAACGAATCCTTTATATTCTGATAGGTCTTCATCGTCTTCATCATCGTCTTCATCGTTGTCGTCCTCTTCATCGTCGTCATCCTCTGTAACTATAGACTGAAAAGATAATAATTCTAATTAGTGACTTAAAAAGCGGTGGTTGAAGATTATTATTATTAATTATAATTATCAGTATTTTTATTTGTTAACAACTAAACAAATAGTTTAAAATATTAACGAAATATTCATCCTTCCGGCTATCTACTAACACACATTCAGCCATCACTCTGATGAAGTAATGGAAAGTTCTTTAAAAAAAGGTAAAAACCTGTTTTGAAGAATTGACACTTTTCAGTGTTGATCCGAGTCCTTTCTGAGAATTCATCGTGCTGCTTGCATTTGTTGAAGACCTCATGGAGCTGATGGTACTGTTGTTGGTCGTTAATGTGTTGTTGTTCGCCGTTGTCATAAATGCGTTGTGTCCCGTAGTCACCTTCATTCTGTTCGGTGAGTTGATGGTTTGCTGGCGAGGAGTCGGAGTTGGAAGGTCCTGCTCCTCCAGTGTTCTCAGCGTTCCCAGCTCTTTCAAGGATTGGTTCATTCGATTGTGGAAGTTCTGGCAGAGGAAGGGTTGTGGGTTGTAGGACACATCACATGAAACATAATATAATACGTTGTTTGCCTCATTGAAAGTGAAAAGAATGTTCTATTGGCATCCTAGGTTTTTTCGCTTTAATTTTACACACCTTTAAGCTTGCAAATGTTGAATTTGATAATGTGCGTTTGTAATAATTAGACAACTGATAAATTTAAACAATATTTTAAAATATTAAATTTAAGAAAATTAATTAACGAGAAAATAGAGCAGTTAAAGAAAATCGAGAAATCATTCAAAGATATCAGTACCTTGACAAGTGCAATTAATTATTATTGAGTGTTTGTAAAGTCTCAAGAAGAGGAGGCATGCGATTGTTTGTCTTTGCTGGGCAAAACTTTTTCATGTGCGTGTATGTGTGTATGAATGTGTGTGTGTGTGTGTGTGTGTGTGTGTGTGTGTGTGTGTGTGTGTGTGTGTGTGTGTGTGCAACACTGCAGCCAACCACCGAAATTATCAAGTATTTCCTTCGTTCTTAATCAATCCACTTAAATAGTATTTAATTAGTTCACCCGTAGAAATACTATTTTTACTATCATACTAATAGCAATATTTGCAAGCTATCGCGTTGAACTTAAATTTCAGATTTAATTAATATTTTTACTTCTTCAGAATCTTTACTACTCAAGAATACTTAATTTAAATTTTTCCAAAGTACTTTTCTTCATAAAAATCATTCAAACCATTCAAAATAAGGTAAACATAACGGCGAATGTTGCAAAATATTATTAACATCAAAATCCTCGTCCTCATTCATTGACTCAAGATCGTTGTAGCAGCAGGTCAGAAATTGAAGGGATTTCGTGTTGAAGTCTATCTCCGCTCCAATTAGAGACAACAAAATTTTCTGGAAACATTAATTTAGAAAATCAAGAATCGAATATAATTGAGTATTAATCTGAAGAAGTAAAAAAGGTGAGTGAATAAATGAATGAATGAATGACAAATGATCAGTTGGGTAACCTTGATGTCCTGCAGCTTATTCCTTTCAAAAACTTCAATTTGTTCCTCCAGTTCGTGACTGAGCTTAGAGAGATTGGCTGCTGCATTGTTGATGCTGTTCTTTAACTGTTCATTCATTCGTTCATTCATCCATTCATTCATCCATCCATTCATTCATTCATTCATTCATTTGCTGGTGCGTTCATTCATTCCACCATTTACTCGTTCATCTATTCGGATTGATTTTGAGTTAATTTTTTGTAAATAGCTAAACAATAAATAGAAACACTACTTACGATAATGTTAGTCGATTTAATTCAATCAGAAATTAATTATGTCAGTGCTCTTTATAAATCTCAAAAAAATAGCTAAATATGAAATTATTTTTCCATGGTAGATTGTGCGAGGACTGTGTGCCGAAAACTTTAGCTTTCGAGTTTTCATTGAATGAATGAATGAATGAATTAAAAAACTATTCACGGTTAATAAGAAGTTACAAAACAAGCAACTGGATCAGCGAAACTATTGAAATAACATTTTAATAAAATAAGCATGAATAAAATTATCCTAATACTTCTCTAATTCCACCAACCCACCAAAGCAAAATAAAAAAATATTTAATAATATCAATGATACATATTGATACTATTAAATATCATCAATGGTACTTACTAACACTATAAAGTATTATCGATAAAACATTGATACTATAAAGTATCATCAATGATACTAATTGATACTAACACTATAAAGTATTATCGATAAAACATTGATACTATAAAGTATCATCAATGATACTAATTGATGATACTATTGAGTATCATTAACAATACTGATTGGGGCTATTAAGTATCGTCAATGATATTTATTGATGCTATCATAAATTCAATAACGATTATTGATACCATTAAGTATTATATTAACGATACCTATTGATACTATCAACACGAAGTACTGAGTGATATAACTAATTGATATTACATTTTACTTGTAATTTGTAATTACTATTTTAATTATACTACCTTATACTACCATATGAAACTACCTCATGCTGGAAATAGTGCAAACAATTAAAAGAAATCTCTAAAACAAACTTAAAAAATATATTTTTCTGACAATTTTATCAAAAATTTTTGAAGTAATAAACGTTTAAATTGTGAATGTGGTATGTTCATTACTGAAAAAATGAATGAGTGAATGAATGAATGATTGAATAATAAAACAAATAAATGAATGAATGATTGAATAAATGAACGAATGAGTGATTGAATGAATGAATAAATTAATTGATTAATGATAGAATGAATGAATGAATGAACGAATGAATAAATAAAAAAATTAATGAATGAATGAACGAATGAAAGAATGAATGAATGAATAAATGAATGAGTGAATAAGAGAAGTAAATGTGGACGAACCACGTGATGATGATTGTTGTGCCTCTGGTACTGATCCAATTGCTTCTTCAATTGCATCTCCTTCTTCAGAGCACCATAAGTTTTCTTTATTGATTTCTCATTAATTTAAACAATTAAATTAATTAATTAATTAATCAATCGATTAATCAATCAATTAGTGGTTTAATTAAATTAAAATATAATAAAGTAAAAACTTTAGTTGCTTTGCATGACTGATCATAGGTCGATAGTGGATGAATGACGTTCGTTCTCAATCTGTCTATCTAGAAATTTATTTCATTTAAAAATTTAATTTCAACATCCTCAGCAAACTATGAAAAGAACAAATGAATGAATAAATGAATATTGGAATGAATAAATGAATGAATAATGGAATGAACAAATAGATGAACTAAAGATGGAATGATTGATTGATTGAATGAATGAATAAATGAACGAGTAAATGAATGATTGAGAAAAATTCACATTAAAAAACGTTTTTAAATTAAGAAACTGAATTAAAATCAAATGACTTTGATGTCAAGATGGTCTTGCACAGATGAATAATGTTTTGCAAACTCGACAAGAGAGGATTTGGTTGACATGTTGAGGTTTTCAAGAGTGGCATATGTGTTCAACTCTTTGGCTATCAGGTCGTCTGTTCATTTTTTATAATAATAATATCAATAAAAATTAATAATAATAATAATGTTTCACACATTGCCAGTCTTTTGTTAACTAACCAGTTATTTAGCCAGTGTTTTATGCTTATCGAATTTGTTTAGCTGCTATTAAAATAGTTATGCTATGCTATTTATATTTGTTTTGTATGATAAAAAACTTTTGTGTTAAAACTTTTAGTCACAACAATGTTACATAGTTGTTATAGTACCTCATATTATTGTGTGTTTAGTCATTTAGTGATTAGTATGCATCATTGAATATTATTATATATGAAGAAAACAGCTAACTTTTGTCACGACATTTGGCGAGATTTCTGTGGTAGCTGCCAAACCATGAGCAGAGGTTTCCAAACGTGCGCTCTATCAGGTCTATTCTAGACTGCACATCCTCCAGTTGCTTTCGCCTGCAATTATAATTCCATTTCATAGATAAACAGTACAATTTGTAGTCATTCGGTTCTTGTCATTGAAGAGGGTAATTAATACTTGTGATATAAAATGGAAAATAAAATCAAAATGGATTTGATATTCAAATTTAATGTTTTTTAATCGAAAACGCAATTTGCAATACAATATGAATTTGAATATGGTTGATCTTTTTAAAAATCTTGATAAAAAAATTCTCACAAAATATAATCTGAATCGGAAAAGTTTGAAGAAAAATTCATGGCAAAATTTGAAGCGTAGGCAACTTTTGTTAATTTTTCAATTTAAAACTATTCCGCAAAACATCTGACATTTGAGAAGTCCTTAGCAACCAATATCTAACGTAAGCAAGTGTTCTTTAGGGATGTGCACGCTAAGTTAGTCAACATTATCTATCGCTTCAAATGTTGTTCAAAAGTCAAGTGTTTCCAATGAATAGATAAATGACGTCAAAATGGGTGGAATACGTTAGGGTAATACCGCTACAGAACAGGAAAGACACAGTGACTTAGTGTTATCTATATCTTATTTCATATTGTAAGGGGACCCGAGGCTCATTTATTCAAACGCCCGAGATGGAAGATGTAAATAAAGACTAAAAAACATCAAAGTCGCCATGTTTAGTATAAGACACCATGGTCACTCCTCAATGGATATTAGGTAGGTACGTTTTGTGAGCCGCCAAAGTTTTTTTGAATGATAAAGTAAGAAAATTTGAAAAAGACGAAAGTGAACAAAAAGTGAAAAAGTTCATCTGATAAAATATATAAAGTAATGAGTAACAGAGGCAGATCTCAACTTACACTTCTGTGTTTAGATTTTGATATATGTCAGATGTTTAAATAAAGCAACCAACAGTTAAAATGATAGAAAAGAAATCTTGATGTAACGAAATTTGGATAAATTTTAAAACCAGATATGGGGAACGAATAATTGTTGCTATACTTACAAATCTCACTTTCTAAATTTCTAAATTGTAGAACGCGTAAATGGCAACAAATAATTGTATGAATTTTAAGATGATATCAAATCTACAAATGAAATATTAGTGCCAATTGCAAACAAATAATTTTAATTCGAGTTCGTATTCGATTACTAAATGTTGGAACAGCTGTCGGAAAAATGATATAATACACAACTAATCCTACATACTTTTGACGGGAAACAAACATAAACTTAAATGTTTTGAAAATTTTGTTAAAATTAAAAAAGAAGGAGTTCACGATTTACTATGCATGTGTGTGTGTGGACGTTGGTGAGTGTGCATGGTTTTTGAGGAAAAGCGACCAGACATTCAGCAGACAAAAAACTTCTTTTGAAATGAAGCAATTTTAGTTATAATCTCATTAGGATCACCATACGATATGGACCAAAGTAACTTGCCAGGAACAATTACTTATTCTATTTCATTTTGTTTTTTTCTTCAACGTTAAACAAGCCAAGCGGAAGGTTTCGAGTTTTTCAATGTTTAAGTTTCAAGGCAGTTGTTGGCCAATATAATTTGATGGATGAGATTACATTTGAAATGGCCGATGATGCGCGCGTTACTATGAACGTGTGTGTGTGTGTGTGTGTGGATGTGTGTGTGTGTGTGTGTGTGGATGTGTGTGTGTGTGTGTGGTTTGTGAGTGATGTGTGTGTATGTGTGTGTGTATGAATGCTTTATTTATCCACATATCACAAAAGGAAGCAATAACAAATTGAAAACTTTTTTTCGTTTAATTTTCTTTTTTTGCAAAACTCATTAATATCCTTCAACTTTTCTGCACAAACACATTAATATTTTTCATTTCAGTAAACAAAATAACTTTTAGTTTTGAATAGTTTTTTAAAATTTAGTTTTGATGACTGTAAACAAACAAACAAACGAACGAACGAACGAATGAACAAATACTGTTTGCATGGCGATCTGTTTACAAAGTGTGAACTAATTAGCACGTAATTAATTATCGATCCTGTTTATGTTTTTAATCATCCATTCAACACTTCTGATTACTTACATTCATTTTATTCCATTTCTTCTTTCCATTCTTCTTCCCGTGTTGCGTCGTATCTCTTGTTAATTCATGCGATAAAGAATTGAACTATCAGATATTTTTTTAATTTGTTAAATTTCAAAGCAACCAACCATTATGTAACATTTGTTAGATCGTTAAACAAATTAAAAAGCGAATATCGTGACAAATTTTTAAAAAATTTACAACAAACAAATCAAAAGAAATTGAGGTTAAGATAGAGGAAGAATAGATTACCCTGCTCTGACAAATCAATGACCATTAAGAGTAGAAGGTCAAATAAATAAACAACCTTCACTGCCCTTGCGGATGGCCAACACTGGACAAAAATATTCCAACTTAAATTTTGAATTGAGTAATTCTTAACAAAATATTTTTTTGTCAGGAAATTAAATAAAAACCTTTTAGGAAAAAGTATAAAAAATATGAACTGCTTGAACGAATTTGAAAAAATTCAATATTCATTAATCTGGATGTTGGATTAAATGTTAGAAGTAAGAACGAAATTGCATTATGAGAAAAATAAGGTAACTTAAAATTTTATTTATTTAGGCACAAATTTTCATCCAGTAATGAATTGTAAGATGAAATGTGTAACCAATCATTATATCCATACATGAACGCTTTACAATGTATCATTGATTATATTTCATATCCATGCATACATTTGCACGTGTATCTGATGATTTACTGCACGACTGCACTGCATTGGATATTAAGGAAACATAAAATTTTAAGCCGAGATAAATTTAAAAACAGTAGTAGTGGTGGAGGTAGTAGTAGCAGCAGTATTTATAATAATTTTTCATTCTTCTTCTTCTTTTTCTTCTTCTTTTCCTCCTCCTTCTCCTCCTCCTTCTTCTTCTTCTTCTTCTTCTTCTTCTTCTTCTTCTTCTTCTTCATTTTCTTATTATTATTGTTATTATTATTATACGGCGCAATAAACACCTCTGCATAAGTCAGAGCCGCCTAAAGCCAACGTATACATTTGGAAAGATGTATTTTCAGAATAATTTTTTGGACTGACGCAGCGAGGAACAAATGTACAAATGTGACGTTATAAACATACAATTAAAATACAATAAAGATACAATAAAGATACAATCAACATACAATCAACAACATACAATCAACAGCAACAGTATAGCAACAAAAACTTAACAGAATCGCCTTCGGTAGCCGATAGAAAGATTATTTACACTGCGCCAGACAATACAAATGAAAATGATTGATGATGATGATGAAGATGAGAACTCTTTTATTTCAAAGCAAAGACAATAAATAAGTATGAAAATAAAATAATGAAATGTCACAATAATGTAATAAAATGTAATAAAATGTCAACGATTGCCACAATGCTCATTTTTTAGAAAAGTACATAGCGGTGAAGTATATTCAAATATATATCACGAATTGTTTCTGTCACAATATATGCCATACGATAGCTTTATAACAGTCTCTATCAATTCATCGTTGAAAGAATCCGGCCACAAAATTTTAAAAAGTGAAAGATTAAAATTATTATAAAAACCTATTGGTGATATTTCAAAAGTATTTATAATTATTGTGCAGTGTTTATAGTTGTCATATAGATTACTGTGCAAATTATCTGAATATTTTTTGATCTTGTATTGCCTGGATGATTCAAGATTTGTTTCATGACAGACCGTCAACTCTAAGATCTCTACTATGTTGCCTAGTAGGATGGCGATGTCAGGTCGTAGAGTGTTGAACAGATCTGATATAGGGTGAACACCGTCAATTTTCAAATCTGCAAACAACCGACAATAGGCAGGCGCATACAGTTTCAATCGGTTGAATAATAATAATAATAATAATAATAATAATAATAATAATAATGACTGTAATGGCGATAAAATGTTGTTGGCCGGCGAGATGGCTCAGTGATTCAAATGCTCGCTGTGTCAAATATATCAATGGCTATCATATACTCAGCGTATAAGATGCGGTGCTTGCGCGTGCACATAAATACATGTGTACGTCGTGTGAAAAGGATAAACAGCCTTTGTGGCGAAGATGGCTGCTTCAAATGGATGAAGATATTTAGAACATAATAAAAAATATATAGATAATATATATCTGTAACATTGTAAGTGGTTCTGCGTATGTCAGAGCTGCAATAATAAAGACTAAAAAAAAAATGATTGAACAAGTATCACCACATCAATCATCAATTTAACTTTGTTTGGAAATGTTGATGCGGACTCTGATAAGAGATGATGATGATGATGGTAGTGATGATGATGGTAGTGATGGTGATGATGATGATGACGAAAGGGATAGTGATAAGGATGGCATGATTGGTGTTGATGACGACGACGACCGTGACGACGATGATGATAATGATGACGATGATAGTGATGGTATGGTTGGCGGTGATTATGATGATAATGAAGATGATGAAGAAGAAGAAGAAATGATGATGATGAAAAAGAAGATGATGAAGAAGAAGGAGAAAGAAAAGAGAAAGGAGATGAAGATGATGAAGACGATAATGACGGGGATGATTAAAACAACATTAATGATTGTAAATATGATAAGAGAAGGAACATTTTATGATGATGATGATATTGCTGATAACAAAAAAAAGCGACGCTAGATAAATATAAATTTAGGAGTCGAGATGGTGATAGTAAGTGAATGACGCAACAAGCAAGAAACGAGAGTGACGTCATTTGATGGAGTGCTGATTTCAATAAGATGTTGCCGGGGGTGATGTTGCTGTTGTTGTTGTTGCTGTTGTTGGTGTTGAGATTCTGTGGACGTTGTTGTTGTCGTTGCTGATGTTGTTGTCTTAATTTTAGAAGGACGTCAACATCATCACGTCAGTTTTTTTCATTACATCATTATTGTTTGATGTTTTTCGTGGTCTTCATCTTGTTTTTATTGGTTCATCATTGCTCCAAATCATCGTATTTTATAATGTTATCATCTTCATCGAGTTACATCATCAGCAGCATTCTTGCCATCGTCATAATCGTCGTCATCATCATTATTATCACTAATCAGATGGTCATCATCACATCACATCAATGCATTATCACCAACACAGTGCATCAAATCATCACGGATCTGATGATCTCATGATTAAAAATCACCATATCACAACATATAATCAGATCATGATGTTGTATCATACCATCCTAATATCACATCATCATCATCGTCACATCACATCCCATCAAATCACATCAGTTCATCATATTATTACATCAAATCACCCCAACAGTCTATCACATTACATTACATTGAATCACATCATTACATCATCTTATCGCATTGAATCATATTACATCATATCACAATATGACATCATCATCGTCATCGCGTAACATCACATCCAATCACATCATCATCGCGTTAAATCAACCGTCGAAGTAACCCCATATCTGCCTGAGGTGAGTAAGAGAACGAAATATTACAGAAAAAAAAATAATGGAAAAGTTTGTTGGACAACAAAAACAAAAACGAACAAAGCAATAATGACATCAACATCAATAGCAACAACACCATCATCATTCACAACAACAACTACAACAACAACATCATCATTCACAACAACAACACCTTCATCATCCACAACAACAACAACATTATCCACAACAACAGCATCATCATTCACAACAACAACAACACAATCATCATCCGCAACAACAACAGTACTAACAACAACAACAACAACATTATCCACAACCACAACAAAAACAACAACAACACCATCATTCACAGCAACAACAACACCATCATCATCATCCGCAACAACTACGGTACTAACAACAACAACTTACAAACTTTCAAGATTCCTCCACTTGAAAGTGTGAAATAGTAGATGATTGCAAGATTTCATTATTATAAAATCATAATGAATTTGATTTTTATTGGTTGTTTGTGTGTATGTGTGCGTGTGTGTGTGGGCGTGTGTATGTGTGAGAGGAGAAACCGGAAACCGAGAAAGGTGGAAAGTGAGAAAGAGAAAGAAAGAGAAAAAAAGAGAAAAAGAGAAAGAAGAAAAGAAAGAGCTCACACACACACACACACACACACACACACACACACACACACACACACACACACTAACACATATTTACACAACGACAAAAAAACGTAAGATTATTGCTATGAAGAGTAACACTGAACAAATAAGTAACGGAGTACTCGGCGGGGTACTTCATTCTATAGAGGAAGTACTGAATTTAATGAAAAATACAACAAAAATACTAATTTAATTTGTATTGTACAACTCAACCAATACGAACAAGCATCTTTGTAGGTAGCCATTCTTGGAACTTAACAATTCACTTTCCCGCTAAACGTTCAATTAAATTTAATGATTCCACCTAACTGGCTGGCCAACAACTAACCACAACTTCTTGCTTAATAGGAATTTTATCTCAATTTAAATTTTCAAACATTTCAATGAATGCCATTGGAAGCTTTCAACTTTTTTCTCGAGATTATTATTATTATTATCATTATTATTATTATTATTAGTAATAGTAGTTGAAGTTTTATTAGTGTTGGTAGTAGTATTAATAGTGGATTTATAAAGAAATGAATAGCACAAAATCATGACAATGATAACAAATATGATGATGATTATAATAATAATAACAACATCTACATCAATAATAATAAGAAAGAAAGAAAATAAGAAAATCACCAGGAGATCTAAAAGAAAAATAACTTGTGCAGACCACCTTAATTAAAATGTAAATGAGTTATTAAAATGTAACTGAGTGTAACTAATATCAATAACAATATTAATTATGGTGATAAAGATTACACTACCACTATAACTTCGAGAAATATAAGTTTTATAATAATAATAATAATCATCATCATTATTATCATCATCATCATTATTATCATCATCATCATTATTATCATCATCATCATTATTATCATCATCATCTTGTCATCATCATCTTGTCATCATCATCATCAAAACTATCATGACATCATCGTCATTAATCACATTTTCATGATGACCACTGGCTGGCCATCATTATGACCAATCACAAAACCATGCAATGTATTGTAAGTAGGCTGGTCTGGATTGTTGCATGCAAGTACATACAACATGTGTGTGTGTGTGTGTGTGTGTGTGTGTGTCTGTGTGTATGCATTTGTATATGTGTGTGTGAGAGAAAGATGTGTAAGCATGTATGTGTGTGCGTGTGTGTATGTGTATGAGAAAAAGAGAGAGATGTGTATGCATGTGTGTATGTGTGTGTTTGTGGTTTGTGTGTGTGATAGAAAAAAAAAAGAGAGAAAGAGATAGAAAAAGAGAGAGAAAGAGAGAGAGAAGAAAAACACGTACATAGTACCATAAGGCATGTATGCCGTTGCTGAAGTTATAACGTATTTCGATTTATGAAAATGAAATAAAATCTAAAAAGTTCAGAAAGCACAGTCATCGTCATCCTTATCGTCTTACTCACCCCACGTTTCATTGCCACCATCGTTCTTAAAATACAAGGTGATTAAACACATTTCGATATTTTGCGGTTGCTACACTCGCAGCTGTTGCCATTATGTCGTCGTCGTATCGCCTCTGTCGTCATTCTTCTCTTTGCCCTCATTTTGTCGCCATTGTCGCCGCTTCATTTTCGTTTTATGAGCAACTTTTTATTTCTATGACTGCTCTCTATCTATAGATGTTCGTCTAATATCATCACCACCAAAATTAGTCTATTTAATTGTTACTCTTTTTACGTGTCAGTCATGTGATTGCCATCATCATCACATCATCATCATTAACGTCGTCTTGGTCATCATCATCATCATCATCATCATCATCATCATCATCATCATCATCATCATCATCATCATTATCATAACCACTACCACCACCATCATCATTATCATCATCATCACTCACTTCCTCCTCCTCCTCATCATCATCGTCATTGCTCTCTCCATCATAACAATCCTGCTGATCACGAACGGAAGCCAAGAATCCTGATAAAGTGGACCAATCATTCACTTCTCCCTCCATTCCATGCAATGCCTGTTTGCCTGTCTACCTCACATCATTCATGTTTTATTTATTCACTAGTTCTATCATACCTTCATTCATTCATTCGTGACTTTCTTTCTTTCTTTCTTTCATTAATTAATTCATTCATTCATTCATTAGATCTAATTATCACTGAAATTTGATGCAATTTTATGTAATGTAATGTCATTTATTGTCTTACGTTACGAAATGTGTTGCTGTGTTGTTTGTAAAATTAATTTTCATTGACGTGCTTTCGTACATTAATGCATTGTAATTTAACTGAGACCTAACTTAATGTCACGATTGATGCAATGCATAGTAAAATAGTTGCAGTGATGTGATCATTTGTGATGTCACGAGTGTGCTTGATTTGACATGCAACTCTCAGTTGTATTTTGATGTTATTTATAGAATGCAAGGTGATTTATTACCATGTTGTCTTTTTACTGTCACGTTGTTTCATATGTCACACCTGTCATAGTTGTGTTTTTCATTTATATTATTGTTTGATGTTCATTGTGATACACGTGTGTAGTGTACACAGTACATATATGCACATTAGCATGTACTGTACATATATCCACACAACAGAAGTACACATTACGTGTGTGTGTTGTATGTATGTGTGTGCGTGCGTGTGTGTGTGTGCGCAAATATATTTACGTTGGTGTTTTAGTATTGACTTTAACATTGATTTATTGATCACACGTCTTCCTGTATTGCAAAGTGACGTCGGTGGAGTTGGTTGTCTGTGCTGTATGATATGAGAAGGATTGAAAACGCAACAACAACAACAACAACCTCAACAACAACAACAATCATTTAAAATGTAAATTATAATTGATTGGACGAACACTGCTTAACAGAAGATTTTCGTAACGTGACATATTATAATAATTCATCATTTAACTTCTAGAGACAGTATATTTTAAGGTAATGATCACATATTTTGGTGAACATTTTTGAAAAAAAAAATAACACAAATATTTGTGAAAGATTTTTGTGATTGCAAATTGTACTGATGTTAATTTTAAAATAGTGCACGTTTCTGCAACCAGTAGCTGAGTACTGCGAGGGATTTTAAAAGTATCTTTCCACTGTTTTATTATACACACGTCTGAACATTTCTATTTTACCATAAAGTCACTTTAAAAAATTGAAATTAAAAAAAGTTTGGCAAGGTAGTTCAAAGTAGAAAATCTATTTGGCATGTTTAGCGAATATGCTCCTCTTTGGAGAATCTTGTGACAAGTTGCGTAGATGAATCTTCGAGCCTTTGAAGCGATGCGCTGACGTCCTTTTGTTCGCAGACATCTCGGAAACCGGAAGATGATTCGATTCCGTGTTCACTTTTTCCCAATCCTCCAGGATTTCTTTAATGTTCCCCTCAACCTACGTGAAACACGTTGAAACTTTATTTTGGAAACATTGCGATAAAATGAACACAGCATATTTTAATTTGTAAAGATACATTTTAAAAATAATTCTCCAATCACATAATCCTATCTTCAAAATGATGTAATTTTTTTTACGCTCAAAAAGTTCATAAATCAAATTTTGGCTCTATTAGTGCAATAGTTCAAAAAAATGTCATTGACGAAAATTGTAGAACTAGCAGTCCATAAATAGATGAATGAATGAGAAACGAAATGAGCCGACCTTCTCAGAGTATACAGATTCCCCGTCTCCATGTCCGTTGTCTGCAGCCTGCTGCCTAGATACACTCCTTCTCGTTCGATTTCTGTGATCAACTGAAACAATTGCAATTAACTGTAAAACAAAAGAGACTTAGAACCACATAATGATAAAAAACAACCTGCTTTCCTAACGAATGAAGCGGCGATACAAAAAAGAAACACGCAAGAAAATATATCTGAAATTTTTTAATTTTGCATATCAGTTTTATGTTGCTTGCTCTGTTTCAATTTTTATATCTATAAACATTTAATTGATTTTATTTAAAAATGATTCATTGAAACCTAAGTAACCAAATTAAGCTAAATAATAGGCTGCTTTCTTTTCAAAAGTTTTACACTGGCAGCTTATATGAAGATTTGGTCGATTTAAAGATATAAAGGGTGAATGGAAATTTATAAAAAATAGAAGCACTCACAAACACGTATACAAACAAACGCGCGTAACAACACATGTGTTTGCAGTCCCGCAGACGTGTACAGGTTCAAATGCATGCAAATAATGGACAAACAAGCAGAAGAGTTATGTATCAAAAAATGTTTTAAAAACTGTGCAAGTCAGTTTTTCATAATAATTTTATTTTGTGATAATTCAGTCATGGCAGGGTGACTTCAGTTGCATCAACCGGTCGCTGCTAAAAGCGCTTCTAGTGATTAGAAAACTATTTAAATAAAAGATTAATGTTATTACCATACTTCTATGTTGGTTAGCATAGGCCATTGTATCTTTAACGAAGTTCAAAAAGTCAATTTGTAGATTGTATTTGAATGATTGAAAGAGGCAGAGGAATGAGTTAATCGTGGCCATATCCTTCCTGGCGACTGCCTTGTAGCACTGCTCAATTCTCTTCTTGATGTGTGCGTCTGTGTCCCTCACTTCCCACCACCATATCTCTCCATCCTCATACTTCATCGTGTCGTTCTTCAAACTTTGTTTTTATTATAGTTATTATAGTTATTTTTATATTTTTGTGATTATTATTATTTATTGTTCAATTGTTAACGTTTCAATGTTATTTGACTCAAAATTAAACTGAGTTAAAAAGTTTCATATTCATTTCTAAGTTTAAGTAAGATTGAAAAGTATTTTTTAGAAAATTTACTGAACACTTAAAATGTCGAGTTTAAAATTATTCAAGATCAAGTCGCATGTAGTTTTGTTCGAGTTTAAATATAAAGGACGGAAACAACTTTTGCACGTTACCAGAAATTGAACTGAAAGCACTGCTTACGTGTAATTGTTAACAAACAACTCACACATGGTATTTTATTTAAGATGTGAACTCAAAGAGCGGATTTTTCATGAAATGACAAAATAGAAAATAGGAAAATGGACAAAAACTATGCCGGTTAATAAAAATTGGTAATTAATGGAAAAAATGATGAACGATACATATATTGTTGCTGCTTAATGAGTTCCAACAAGCTCCTCAAATTTTATTATGCATATGATTTATTTACTTTCCACCAAAACGTACTTTTTCTGAAATGAAGACAACCAACCTGATGACATTAGAGACAATGGCCAAATTGTACAACCCGAACAGCCCGGCGGTTATGGTCTGACAGACGAAGAGGCCTGCTATCACGGAAAACGGTTCCATGCTAATTTAATCAGAACCTTCCTTCTTAACAAAATGCCGAAATAAACATTGAAGTGAGTTGAAAAAAAAACTTGTTTACATCTAACAACGCTATCCCATTAGTAACTACGATGACGTGTGAGCAAGCGACGAATTGTATTTCAGTTCGGAAATTAAATTATTTTATTTAGGGTACTGCTTTATTTAACAAAAAAAGTTGATTTTTTAGAAAAATGTAACCTTAAAATTAATTTGCAATTGTTGATTTTGTATTAATTTTCAAAGTTGTCCAATTTCTTTCAGTTTTCAGGCCCTTGCAACAGCAGGCAGGTATTATTTTCTAACGTCTTCACTAAATATTGTATGAATTATTTCATATCCTACCATCAATGTAAGTATTTTATGCAAATGAAATTTTCTGTTGACACTATTTATTTAAAGATGCACATTCACACATTCACTCACATAGGCGCGCACACACACGCGCATACACTCACGTACACACACATAGGCACACAAATTCACACACATACACTCACATACACATATGGGCACACATACACTCAAATACACACCCATAAGCACGCACAAATACACACTCTAAGGGAAAGTACATTTTGGGTTCGTCTGCAAATAATTCGTTATGGGAGCAAGCTTCTTTTTTCTCGTCCAAAGGTATGGAAAAATGTTCCAATTTCCATAATTTTTTGATAGATTGTTGTCATAATAATTTGCATATTTGTATAAACACATTTTTTAATACTGTCAACAGTCAGTCAGTCAGTCGGTCGGTCGGTCGGTCGGTCGGTCGGTCGGTCGGTCGGTCGGTCGGTCGGTCGGTCGGTCGGTCGGTCGGTCGGTCAGTCAGTCAGTCAGTCAGCCAGCCAGCCAGCCAGTCAGCTAATCAATCAAATATATTTATATAGCGTACATTTCTACAATTCCATGACGCTCTAGCCAAATTAGCAAAATTAAGTGTTTCAAACTGGTTAAATGATACTATTTAAAATTATAACCAATAACTAATAAAAATAACTATTTAGAAACGGTTTATTAAGCTAATTTTTCTAAAATAATATAATATGATAATAAAATAATATAAAAATTTAGGCACGGATGGGATAAAAAGTCACTTACAAATAATTTTCAAGTGTGGGTAAGTTCAAACGGCTACAGAGTTTGCAATGAATGACTTTTGCATGTTCCGATATTTTGCGACCAAATATTCAAAACGTTCAACAACAAAAAACACAATCATCCTTCTCTAGATTGTTTTTCAAGTGACGATCGGAACAAATTTGTTATCTACCATCCCATTCCATGGCTCCCTTCTTTCTTCCTGTTAAATTTCTAATTTATTTGCTCTATATTTTAACATTCGAGGGTTGCATATTAGTTTATCCATATTTATGTATTAATATTAATTTAAATTAAAATAAATATAAACATATCTAGAGACACACAAGCAAATACAATCACACGAAAGTACAGGCACAAACTTATCACACACACTCACTCACACACACACACACACACGCACACACACACATACATTTGCATATAATGTAATTTACTTGTAGCCACTTTACACCGTACGTCAGTGAATTGCAATATTCTGAAAAGTAATTCATCAGTTGGGCGACAATAATTACTTTTATTTGACAAGTTTCCATAGCTTCACTACGTGTGTGGCTGGTGCAAATTTCTAACAATTGCAGTTGTCTTCTTTGCTTGATAGTAAGCCCAACTAAGCCAACACACACACAACACACACCACACACACCACACACACACATACACACACACACACATACTTACATACGCACATGCACACACAAATAGCGAGACATTCCTCGTTTGCAGTTTACAATGGAAGCCTCCACTGAAACAGACAAGGCGTAAACTTTGTTGACACATAGAAAAAAACACCAACGTCAAATAATTATAATATTAATTATAATTGATATTGATTTGGCGCTATACATTGAGTTCCTCACAACTAATTCCATCTCTACAAGAAAGCCCATCTCTACTAATCACAACCAAATTGTTTTCCAGCTAATCAAAACCACACAAGAACTTTAACTCCAATGTATATTGGAGTTAAAGTTCTTGCGTGCACGCGTGTTGGAAATACATTGAGTATAAATGTGAAAAAGAAGACCCATGTAGGGAAAATATAACTACCCTATTTACAATATATTGTTCTTTGGTGTTCCATTACCAGAGAGAGCGAGGATGAAATATCACTTGGTGTTGATCACGGTCATTTTTTATTCCTCATCATTTAAATGATGATGATGACCACCGTTGCCGTCGTTGTTGTTGCCACCACTACCACCACCACCATCATCCTCATCAACACCATCATCAGCACCACCATTTTCATCATTATCATCATCATCCCGCATCAACGCAGAACATTGAACTAATCAGTTCCAAGCAATGACGTCACAGTTACGCGTGATCACGTGATTTGTTTACATTTTGAGCTTTTATAAACAAACAAATTTTCTGTCAATTCAAGATAAATGGTTGAATGAATGAATGAATAAATGAATGAATGTATGAATAAATGAACAAACGAACAAACGAACAAAATTACTAAATTAATTGTTGAACAAGCAACAAAATAACGAATGAAAAAAATTTTGCATTTTAAAAAATTTAAGCAATAAAATATTTTAGATAAATTTTGTTATTTAAATTTCGAATTCAAAATCTGAAAAAAACAGAGTTTGAAAAAACGGCATAAAAAAATAAAATTATTATGAATCTAAATTAATAATAATATTAATTATTCTACCTATAATTATCATAAAATTCGTTATTATGGAAATAATAATAAATATAATATTAGCTGCAGTAGCTGGCTTCTTGATGGAATGTTGTCAACATGATGAATGTGGACCATGGTGCTTCCAATGTACGTACATTGGCTGCTTGGCAGAGACACACATACATAGGCACACATACATACATACATACATAGGCATACATACATACATACATACATACATACATACATACATACATACATACATACATACATACATACATACATACATACATACATACATCCCATTAAGTGAAAGCAAAACGGGTTCATACATACATACATACATACATACATATATACATACATACATACATACATACATACATACATACATACATACATACATACATACATACATACATACATACATACATACATACATTCATACATACATACATACACACACACACACATACACATCCAACTGCTTTGTGTTGTTGGACGGTTTGGAGGAAAATTGCTTTTTTTGATATTGTGTCGTTGTTGATGTTGTTTGTTGTTCTTGTTTTTTAGTGTTGTTTGTAAGTTTGTTGTTGTTATTTTGTTGTTAAGGTTTTTAGTTGCTAACTTGGTTAATGCTATTTTTGGTGTTGTAGAATGTTTTGTCGTTGTGATGTTAATTCGACGTGTTGCTAGTGATGATGTTGCTTAAAAATATTAAAAGTTTTCTATAGTGTTGTTGCTGACGTTGAGTGTCGTTGGCAAAAAGGTAAAAAGAGGAGGTTGTTGTTGTTGTTGTTAGATGCTTAGTTCCACAGTAAGCTTTTTATGTAGTTGTAGTATAATGCAAACATCTTGAGCTTTTGTATGTAGTTGTAGTATATGTAAACTTGTTGGAGTTATAGGTTATTGTTTCATTTTGTTGTTGCGTGGTTGATGGTAGACGTATTGATTTGTGTTGTTGAATGGTTATGTTATCCAACTCGCTCTTCATACATAAGTAATGCGGTCTCCTCACAAATCACATTTTCTCAGTAGTTTCTGCGTTTTGCTATGTGACAACAACAACAACACGCAACAGTTATTAATGTATAGACAATCTTATTAACAACTATTAAATTCGTATTACAACTTAACATTAGCACATTATTAAACTCATCGTCATCATTATCGTCATTGTCGTCATCATCGTCAGCATCATCATCATTATATCATTTTCATCGCGCGGTTAGTAACGCAAATGAATAGGCCTCATTAATTCAAATAAAATCTCTCACAAAATTTTCTTCCCCCAATCCTTTTTTCATTCTTTTATTCCTCCATCTCTCCATCCTTCCTCATCTTTCTTTATTTCGTTATTTCATATACGCCATACCTCGAGTCAGAGGACAAAAACTGAAAATCTGCTAACAAAATTATGTAAACAACAAGCACAACAAAATTAACGATAACGAACAAACGAACGAGCAAACAAACAAACAAACAAACAAGTAGCCAAGCACAATGCACATAGATATATAATAAACATTCAAATATAACATAAACAAACAA